GGGGGAGGGGGGAGTGTAAAGAGGAGGAGCCCAGCCTCTTCTCCGTGGTGCCCAGCAACAGGACAAGAGGCAATGGGCAGAAACTGAACCACAGGAAGTTCCATCTGAACCTGAGAAAAAACTTCACTGTGAGAGTGACAGAGCACTGGAGCAGGTTGCCCAGAGAGGTTAGTGGAGGCTCCTTCCCTGGAGACAATTCAAAACCCGTCTGGATGCGATCCTGGGCAATGTGCTCTAGAGGACCCTGCTTGAGCAGGGGGGTTGGACTAGAAGATCTCCAGAGGTCCTTTCCAACCTAAACGATTCTGTGATTCTGTGACAGGAGGGTGGGAAATGGAAGGTGACCCAAAGCTAGTGGCCAGGCTACAGCATTTCTTGGTGTGCATTCTGACAGCTGTTGTCTTGCTGGGTGCTGCTTTAACAAGGTGGTAGAAAAGTAACCAGCATTAAGATACGCTCATATTTGCTTTTTTTTCTCCTGCCAGAACAATATTACTCTAAATGGGTCTGGTTTTGGGGTGGAGGGGGTGGGGGAGAAAATGAAGGGGAGTTCCTTAACTGAAATAGTTTGAAATTGTTAAGCTCTTGAATAGCTGCTATTATTTAAATTATTTTCAATCATCTCATATGCTCATCTTCCCTTTGTATACAACCTGCTGGGTTGAAGGCGACCAAGCCGTCAGCATATAAACAACATTACACCCTTTGTCCTCACTGAAGGGACTTCATCTCTGCAGCACAATTGCTTCCACGCTAAACAAGTTGAAAGCTTGCACCAAGGGGCTGCATCATTTAAGTTAGTGGCCTGAGGTACTCATCATAAAGTACAAATACCAATACCGGGTAGGTCAGCCCAACACGCAGGCTTGCATTGAATTTAGACCAGGGCAATGCGGTGAAATATTCTCGGCGGGGGGGGGGAAAAAATTACCAGTTCCAAGAACAGCTCATGCATCTTTATTTAATTTTTACCTTTTTGGTAAGCAGGAGAGTTTTCTTTCAATCAGTCCATTTACATACTTCAACAGCCAAGTACAGATTGCAGTGAATTTGATGGAGATCTTGCAACATTAGAAAACTTTTCTCAATATACATCCATTTAAGCAACAGCTTGTAGGTTAGAATGAGTGCTAGTGTCAAATCTGCACACCTCACTCCAGGTGTACAAAGCAGCGTTGCAGCAGCACATGAAATGCCCACACTGGGCAAGTAGTACAGTGTGTTTTACATAGTGCAATCACTTTTAGAGGAAAAACTCTAGGAAGGCCACATTTTTTTTTTTTTTTTAATCCTGTCAAGGTTACAAATGACAGGGGGTGGAAATCAGACCTCTGGCTGAACTAACTCTTGTGCAGGTAGGTTCTGGGTATAGGCACATCCTTCAGAGATGATCTCTGAATCTGTCCTGTAATCAAGAAAAAAACATATTGCTTTGTGATTCAGAGAGAAACCTATTATACAATCTCTACCCTAACAATCTTGGCCAGAGTTGTTAATTCAGCTGTTTTTAGATTTCCTAGAATATGCTCTTTGATATAGTTTAAATCCCCAGTAGAGAAATAGAAGTTGCTATTGACCACTATTAGAGTTACTCTATTTATAGTCATTTGACCATATTAGGCATTGCCTCTGCATACTCCAGTCCACAGTGAAAAAAATCAAATTTCCACAGACTTGGAGAGTCTTGCTTTTCTGTAACTGTAATGTTGACCAATACCAAACAAACAAACAAACAAACAAAAACCTACCAAAACTAAGTCAGACAGAAACTGCTACAGCAAAGCATCACTGGTAATGTTGTTCTAATACAAAATGGAGCGCTCATGACACTGCAAGTCATCATGAGCAATATTTTAAAGATACAATAAAGTGATTTTTTTTTTTCCCAGTAAGATTTTAAAATATGCAACTGTGCTTAACAGTTCAAACTACACGTAAACAAAGAACAGCTCCCTGCAATAAGGTGTAAATCAAAATATTATAGCACCAGCTCTCAGCACCAAGGAGTTGCTGCTCACTGACCACTTCTAGTACATGATGCATTGTATCTGGTTTATGATGCTGAGGTTTCTGCTACACAAGTGCCACAGCGGGACAGACCTGCCCATTTTTGCTGAAATTTTCTTACCAGGTGTGCACAAATTATATGCCTCCCTTCCATGGATAAAATCAGACAACTAGCTAGTGACAGTACTAGAAACACTGAATGGGAAATGGCACCTGAGGGAAAAGTAGGTACTGCATACCTAATTCTGAACAGGCATGGAGGAAAGGTAACATTATCTGAGTAACTCTCTACCTAAGGAAGAGCTCAAATCTGAGAGGAACTAGAGACCATAGAAAAGAAACAAATCTTTCTCTGCTGAAAGCCATGGACATAGTATTGTCAACACTAAAGATTTTATTTCACCGTCAGCAAAGTATTAACCTCCAAAAAGGCTGTAAACATATGGGTCAGATTACGGTACAGTGGTAACTTTACACTATTAAGAGCCTGTTGTTAGAGTGGTCAGGTTTTGTCTTTTGTCTGAGGAGGGGAAAAAGGGACAGGAAGCCTGGCCATTTCATCATATAGAAATTTTACTCAAAGCTAATGTAGAATGTTCTTTCTTTTTAAGTGCAAATTTAAAAGTATTTGTTAGAAATCAGCCTGAGCTGGGCTGCTGTGAAATGACAGACGAGCGTTACAACATTGACAAGTCTAAATCATTACAGGCTTCCAAAGCAAGAATAGGATGACATGTAGAAGAACAACAAAAAAACCCTACTATTAAAAAATATCATTGCAAACTCTGAACACTCTTCAAAAACATATCTAGAAAAGACTATTAATTTGTTTTCCTGCAGCTGAGGAGTGTCCATGCAAAACAATTTTGAGAAGAGCAGTGTTCTACCTGCGCTCCAACTAAACCCAAACCACTTGTCCCACACAGCTCAGTAAAGTGCTCTCTTGTGCATCCCTTGAGGAAAAAGGTTCTCATTTAAAGACTGGGAGGCCAAGAGTGCCAGATGGGGAAGGCATAGTCTTGGTCAATCCATTCTGAGGTCAGAGAAAGAGGAAGGAGAGAAGTTAACAGTACTCTGCCTTTCATAACCCAGGGAGAGATAGGCTGCGCAAGTGAGGAGCAGACAGGACAAGCAGAGGTGGATCTGTCCAATGAAAACCAGCCTCTGTGAAGCCCCAGGAGTTTTTCTAACACAGACTTCTGCAGCGGCAGCTTTCACTTTTTACAGATAACAAAGACTAATTCTGTTGTAGAGTGAGAAAGAGTCAGTATTTAGACACCAAGTAATAGTATCCACACACAACATAAAGTGAAAATCAAATAGGCATTTCACTTCCAGTGCTGGTGGTTCTTCAGCAATTTCTTTGAGGGACAAAGGGGATCTGAGTAGCATTCTTTTGCCTGTTTAAAGAAACAAAAAAATGCATCTTGCCCTGAACATTTTCTTTTTATGTTGCACACTTACAAGCATTCTAGGGCAGATCATTAGAGGTATTTACTGATACAATAATAACTAACCAGTAGCTTAAAAGAGTAAAAATAACATTAATGGGGAACAGAATTTAAGGCATTTTTTATTTTGGCCAGGAATGATGCATGCTACAGAGTAACCTTCATCTTCCCACTTGCTTTTCAGACCACTGCACTTTTTTTGTTTTACATGGCACTTCATAGTTTGTGTTTTACAATTTAGTCAAGATTTTCAAGTGTTCTCTTCAATGAAAAGGCCTTCTCTTGTAGCTCAGGTCTGCTGTCTGATGCCATTGTAGATAACGAACGAATGAGGTGGTCTCTGCTTTCTGGTGTCAGGCTTTCCCACTGTTTAGCTTCTGTACAAATAGAGACAGATACTGGACTTTAATACTTGAATGCCAAAAAACCCCAACACGTTCTCTCCATCCCTGGCAGGCTGAAGAGATACTGCTTCACATTTCACTCTCAATCCATACCGCTGCTTGAGGAGAAAGCTATTGGAGAGGCAACCTCAGTTGGGCACACAGGTACATGTGCCATCTCCTGCACAGGGAGCTGTGCTCATTTAGAGCAGGCTGAACTTGAGTCTCTAGGCCTGGAACACGTGAAAACATGTTTCTGACTTCACAATTGTTTCATGTGATGCGAGAGGAATGAAAACTATTTTCTGCTAGAATAAAAGACACATGCAGGGCATAACAGAAATCCAAAGGAAACGTCTGCTAGAGAGCAACTGCAGACTTATGACATTAAGATCTAAACACACAGATGCATTCTCCCAGGTAACTTCTGCAAAGACTCTAAAATTCTGCAGAGAAACTCTAAATTGACAATGATGAGCTAGGTTTGGCACAGGAAGGGTAAAAACCTCTCCTCTGCACAAACACTCTCCCTTCTATGGAGCCTGAACATAATGCAAAATCTGACTTTAGAAATCTGAAAGGCTGGAAACAGCCTGTCTGACTCAGTCCTGCATACTCTCTGTGAAACCCTCCTTGCTGGAGGTTTTCCTCACTTAAGGGGTTATTAATGGTCCTTTAGACCTCGACTTTATCCACAGCTGCTTCAAGTCCTCTCCAAGTTTTCCCAGTCTCCAACCTCAAAACTCCACATGCCAACCACCCACCCTTCCAGGGCTACATGCACACTGCTCAATCACCCAGTTTCGCAAATAGGCAGTAATGCCAACTTTCCATGTTTCCAGGCCACACAGCCAAGTACCACCTTTCCCAAACGCTGACTTTCCCACACGGTAAGTGAAGATCCTCACCATTCAGTTTGGTGAACAGCAGTTGTATCACAGACAAAGCTTCTGTTCTTATGGAGGTGTAGCTTTTGTTTTCTAAGGGAAAAAAAAACACATTCAGAACCAAACGCACACTAAAGAGCAGTCACCACTGTGGACTCAAGAGAGCTACTTTGTGCTGCCAGTCTGCAGTGCTCCCAATTAGTCATATCTATGAACGGCAGAGAGTAAGCAAACAGAGGTTACCAGGTCCCTTAAGCCTTGTGCATGGCCTCTGCATGCCTGCAGCACTACTGTTCCACATGTTGAAAGGGAAACAAAGTTGGCCTAACTGCAGTGTAACCACAAACAATTTCTGTGTATAGTGGACTTTGCTTCTGCTAAGTTGTAATGGCTATAAACCATCCGGATGTTAATAAGCAGCATTCAGTGAGGGTACATAGACCTACAATCAAGCATCAGGCTAAAGTCTTTGAAAGTTTTGGTTTCCAGACCTAAAATCTTGTAAATGCCTCACTCCATTGTAGGCTTAATAGCTAAAAGAAACTCAACTGTCTTTTCTTCCCATGAGAGGCATCTGGATCTGTAGGCAGCTGTAACACAGGTGCTCTTCTGGCATACTAGAGACAAGAGCCGCATTTGGGTACGTGGAGACTTTGCACTCTATCACAGTCATAGGATAAAGCAAGAAAACTGCCTCAGTAACAAGCACCCCCAGGACTGTCAACACTATGTAGGGGGCACTTTCATACCCATATGTGCTTTCCTCAGGGAGAGCACAAACTGGCTCAAAGTCTTGGAGCTCCATGCTTTGGCTGCCTTAGCAAATCTTGAGTATCTCCAAAGCAATGTACTGAAGAAGTCTGAACTTGGGGAGCAGAAAAATATTGTTTCATTAAATCACTAATAGTCTGATTAGACGAGGTTCGTCTTCTACAGGGAAAATTACTGAGTTTCAGATTTACATTCCTGACAGAGGTACCTGTGCAGGAGTCTATCCTCCTCTTCCTCCCCCTCTGAGGAAAAGACTGCAACTGCAAAATCAAAATAATCACTGTGCAATGCAAAGAAGGGTAAGGTATTGTCTCTGACAGCCTATGCTTATCCTTCACTTCTTCTGCTAGCCATATTTCAGAGGAACAAGCAATTCATCATCAACCAAAAACTGGGAAAAGTCCATTTACCTAAAGAATAGGTGATAGATGAGCAGGTTTCCAACAGTATTCCTGTCAAAGCCCCAGGGTCTGAGTGCTCCTCATCGAACAGCATTAACCTGCCAAATGCCAAAAATGCTGTCAGACCTCCTGCGCTTCCGATCAGCTTCCTCTGAGAAATCATTAATAGCACTGCCACATCACTGCTTTCTGCCACTATTTCACAAAACAGTCTGCAGCATCAAAGAAAATCAGAGTGCAGAATTAGAAGAATTACCCTTGAAAGTAAGCATTCATGGCTTGCAGCACTCCAAGTTGCACTTTCCACGTACTGAGTTTTAGACGCTCACACATTAACTTGCAAAATTCTTGTCGATAGCGACCTACAGAAAAGTAAGGATATCACTATGTTGCAAAGAGGAAAAGGAGAAAGAAACATTTCCTGTTCTATCTCTCTCCCAAGTGCTCCCTGTACTGTACTCGAAGTGACATCAAGCAACATCCTCTAACAAGTGACCCTAAAAGTCTGCACCCACCTAGGCAGGACAACACTTATTAACAAACATTGGAAGATGAACAGCTACACAGTACATTTTGACATGTTAATAAAAGCAGCCTGTTTTTTCAAACCTATGCACTTCCTTCACCTTGTACCCGCTTTGATGCAAAGTGAATGTAATCAGCAGAACTAGGCTTCTTCTGATAAGCGTGCCACATCAGGCATCCTGCATTAGAAGATGATGTCCTAAAAGTTTCAGCACGCCTCTACAAATTCAGAACAGTTCCATGAACTGAAGAGTAAGGAGTTTACCCAAGGATGGGCTACTCGGTGGGAAAGTTTTTGAGGCAGCTTTCTCACTGAAGACCTGAAAGGTCTTGCAAGCTGCAAGCATCTTGCAAGCTGCAGGCAGTGAAATCCTGCAGCTCCTCCCCACCCCTCCACAGGATCTCCAGGCCTCCTCCCACCCTGCTTTTATTTTTAGGGGGAGACAGTATGACTCAAGAGAGTTCACTGTGCACACCATAAACTGACTTACGCTGTGTCTCTGGGCTCCTCGGCCAAGCTTTACCCAGACTCTCGAAGGCACAGATCAGGGACTCCATCTGCATCTCTTTCTCCCTCACATCCTCATCCTCTTCGTCATGCTTTGGTGAACCCACACCCATGCTCTCAACAGAGTTCTGTGGAGGCCATGAGGGGAAGGCATGTTTGACAGAGGGATGACAGCAAGTTAGTCAAACAGTTCAGCTTAGTCTTCCCTTCCGGTTTGTGCACAGCAGCCCTTGTACCTAGTCAGAGTCCCCCGTTCAGACACAGCACAGGCCTCCTTGGCCAGTAGCAGCTCTGACACTACTGGCAACCTGCAGAAATGCACACCAGCCTCTGTGCCCTTGCATTCAAACATCTCCCAGGGCTGTGAGGGTCTCATTTGTAGAGCAGCAAAGCACTGCAGATTCTCAATGGAAGCAGACTAACTATGCAGCTTCGTAGGAGTCTCCTGCTGCCTCTAGAGCAGCCGGGAATCAAAATTTAATGCAGCACTGAGATGATGCTGGACACCACAGAAAGGACTCTGCTTAGAGAGCAGTTGGGCTAACTGAGAATTTGGGTAGCAGTAACAACCCTCCCAGGGCTCACCAACAATCTGGTATTCAATTCCATCTAGGATCTGGCTGAGTGTGTGGTATTTCTCCTATTAGCTGCCTCTTCTGGGCAGAAATGTGGAAAACCGAAGGTGTGCATCTAACAACATCAGCTGGTTTGTCACTGCTTGGAGTTTTGTTTTGAAAGAGGGAAAACGCAAGAAGCAGCTGAACTGTCACCTTCTTTATCATGGGAAAGACGATATCTGCCAGCTCCTGGAACCGGTCTTCCTTTGTTGCCTGTAACACTGCAGCTGCACAGCGCAGTGCTACCATCTTATACTTTAGTTTCTCTTTCACTGACACTGGGTTGACCAGGCACAGGCTTCTGCAGCTCGGCACTGAAACACAAGGAGCATAGACATTATCGGACCCCCACTAATACCTTCCCAAACACAGCTTTTCCCACAGATAGCAAGCAATTCCCATGCGCAGGCACAGGGTGGCCTACCAACAGCAGTAGCTAAACTTACAGTCTGGTGCTCTTCTGTTACAATGTCTGTTCTCCCTCACTTCTCTTTCCTGCTCTTCCTCATATGTTCTCTATGCTTTCCTGCTCTCTTTCCTCACCCATCTTCTACCTCTTGCTCTCTTTTCCCTTCAAAGTATCTACCATTCCCTTAGTCTCTTCTTTCTTCTTCACAATTCTGGCCTTTCTTTCTCGCCCTATTTCTACCATTCTGCTTCGCAAGTCCCTCCACAGCATCTTCTGCTCCTCCCAGCCCTCACCAGTGACCCTGACAGACAAAGACAAGCAGAGAGGAAACCGCTCACTTCCTGATAGGAGATCTGTTAAAACAGTGTTCACAAATTTATACTTCTTCTTGCCTCCCTGTCGGAAGAGACAGAGTTTCCCTAGCACCAGCTAGGCAACAGCCCTGTGCAAAGAACCTCCTTTTGGGGATCTCACAGTCTGAAGGTACCACCTTTTTCAAGGCACTTACTTGCATGTGGAGACAACACTGGCAATGGCCTTTAGCAGCTCCTCCTGCAATCATTAAAACAGTAAATTAGTAAAACACAGAAACGTTCCCCAGCCTAATGACACAACGCTACTGCACAGTGGTATCCTTTGCACTCTACTGCTTGAGGTAGTGGGGAAATATGCCCCGATACCAGCCAAGAGAAGCAATGTTTTCCTCCTGCCACTTCTGAGAGGCTGCTGTTCTTTCTCCTTTTTCCTAAATCACAGGTCTTGACTTTTCATCTACACTGACTGAGAGTGGAAAGGGGCCCTGCAGCGCCTCTGAGTACAAGTTAGCTTCAGGGCTAGAATATTGTGCAGAGGATCTAGCGTAAACAAGAATCCAACTCTCAGAGAAATCTGAATTCCACCTACGCTTATGTTTCCTTGCGTTTTTATTTCCATCAAATACAGGGCAAAAGCCAGGCTGCCTAAGCTGGAGTTCCTAACTATGCTCCTCTGCAACCCAAAATGCTGCATCTCCTGTCTCAGGTACTGAATGCTGGTGCTCACATCAATACTTTAGGGGCCAGCGCTCTTTTTTTTTACCTTTCCAGTCCATGTTCTTCCAGGCAAGCCTTGCAGCAATGCAGACAGCACTATTCCCAGGTGCGGTGGTACCAGAGAACCTGTCTGTTTGGCAATTGATGCCATGGCAGCTGCTCCCTGTGCTTTCATCTTCCAAGACTGGGACTGCAATGCCTTCTGGGTAATGACTATCAATTCCTGCATGTACAGTCTGATACCACCCTGAGTACCTGCATGGCAAACAGAGGAACATTGCAGTCTTGCCACAAAAGGAAGAAAAAGCCTAATCTTATTAGGAAAAAGAAAAAGAAAAAGAAAAAGAAAAAGAAAAAGAAAAAGAAAAAGAAAAAGAAAAAGAAAAAGAAAAAGAAAAAGAAAAAGAAAAAGAAAAAGAAAAAGAAAAAGAAAAAGAAAAAGAAAAAGAAAAAGAAAAAGAAAAAGAAAAAGAAAAAGAAAAAGAAAAAGAAAAAGAAAAAGAAAAAGAAAGAAAAAGAGGAGAAAAGCACCTATAGCAGTTAAGGATTTCTCTCTTTTTTGTCAGAAAACATATCAGCAGGCCCTTCTTCAGGCAAGGGGGAAAAGAATTTCCAGGCTGACTAAAGATGGGTTCTGTTTTCTAGGTGTTCCAAAAGGACCTGAAGAAAATCTCTAATATGTCCCTCCACACTATGGAAACTAGCCATTGTTTTGTTCCATTTCTGAGGAAATTTAGACTTTTTTGTAAGAACAAATCACTGCAAAACCTCTTCCGGAAGCTGCTTTCCCACTCCCAGGAAGGAACCTGGTGTCTGGGGACCAGATCCAAAATCAGGTCAGAGAAGGAGCTAGCAAAGCTATTTTGCCACGCAGCCACATCTTCCTCTTAAGACAGAAAACATGGCAAATTAGCCTTTTTATAGAGTAGATTCACCTTGAACTTAAAACCACAGGCACCACTGAAGGATCAGACGAGATCATCAACCCTAGGGAGAGGTCGAAGTCCGCTATAACTTCAGAGCGTGCAGCACCCTTCTAAGGCTGGCACCAACATTTCTGGACATGTCCGTCTACCTGCAGCATGATATGGGCTGTACTACAGCGCCATTAAGTGCCTCTCAATCTTAGAATACTTCTCCTCATTGTGTTTGTGTATCCTCCGCTATCAGCAGGTCTTTAACTATTTTAAATAACCGCAGAGAGGCCAAATAACTTGCCCAGACTCACAGAGGAAGTCTTTAGCAAGGAAGAAAATGGAAGCAGGTTTCTGAAATCTCTTGCCGTGAAAACTCTATTTCCAAAGTGGATTTCCAGGAAGCGTGATATTTCATACCCCATGTTCCACAGAAAGATCTTACCTCTCTTATGGCAACTTACCAGGCACGTTTTCCTGCCAAACTTCAGTCCACAGAGTAGAATTCTCTTTCTCTCCTTTCTCTTCATCAGAGACCTCATGCATGCCAAGAAAAGCCAATGGCAAGACGTGTTTGGCATGGTTCTTCACTACATCTGGACTGTAGCGTCCCATAGCATGCACAGTTAAAGCACAGCCTGTTCTGTAAACTGGCTCTGAAGAAGTAAAACAATCATATTGTGTGGTAACTGGGAGGCAGGATTTTCATTTCACAGCTTGGTCAGCCTCTTGGGAAGCAGAGGAAAAGCACAGTATTGCATAATGATACATGGGAGTTCTTCAGCTAATAAACTAAACATCATAATACAGAAACATTTATTTACCAGTTTCTGCCATGGCCACTAACTCTTTTCTGCACCATATGCTATAACTGAATACTCAAAAGAGCCACATACCTTCCTTCTCCATGTACCAACTGCTAAGTTTGTGCAGCAGCTTCTCAGTGCTACTGTCCCGGGAAGCCTGCAAAAGAGAGGAGACTCAAATCACTCCAACACATCTTAAAAATAGTAACAACAATAATAATAATAATAAAAAAAAAAAAGTCAACCCTCAACTCACCCGGACTAGATGCCCCATAGCAAAGGCAAAAGACTTCTGTACCACACTGTTGCGATCGGTCAAGCCACTGAGTAAAGCACTCATAAGTTTGCCTGTTGGAAGAGAAAACACAGATGTCACTTTGTCTGGAGTACCATGTCTTTATTGCTGTGACAAGAACTATAACACCCTGCATTTTATTAACAGATTTAGCCATTTATGCATGCTCTCTTTTCTCATATTTCTGGTCTGGTCCTTATGCTTAGCAAGTGCACAGCATAACATAGTTCATAGTGGCAGGAAGCCTGAGTCTGCACACCTCAACCAACAGCGTTCCCCTGATGCGGGCACACTAGCTGATCAGTGCCTTCAGCTCTATTTCTATTTTGTAACAGAAAGGAGATCTCCTCTATAAAGAGGAGACTAAAATTCTAGTGATTGTCAACAAAATCCGAATTCGGGAACAGAGGTTTAAGAGCAAGGGCCTTCCTGTCTGAGCTAGAATAGCTCTATTAACGTTGAGAGAAAGCAAATTTCTTAAGCCTTTTTTTAATGATACAGCCACCGAAATCAGTCAGGCAACAGACATCCTGGCCAGTGCTTTTAACAAAGGTCGACACACTGAGAAAGTCACAAAAAAGGTACTGTACACCGGGTCAGGAGTGCAGTCCTTGTTTATTCTGGGTAGCACAAGTTGAAGAACATGTGCTTATTACACCACTGCACTAACACAGGCATTGCTAGTCTGTTCCAGTGAAAATCTAAAGAGAGATTTCAGCCTGTATTTCCCTCGGTGTACTAGGGAATTCCCTCAGCTCTTCCCTCTGCTCCTTCAAATGTGATGGAGGTATTCAACATCCCACGGATCTACCTCTAAAGCATGCACAAGGGAGCTTCAAACAGCGCTTTGAGGGAAATACACACACAAAGATCACTACTATGATGAAAATCAAGAGCCAATGGGGAAGAAACGCCACCTGTAAAAGAGCAAGAAAATCAACTTTTAAACCTTACGCTAGAAACCTCAGGGCCTTACCTGAGTAAGGTGTTAAGTCCTGGGGACACTGCGTGGTTAATGACACAATTACACTGGCACAGCCTCCCTGGAAGATTACAAGAGGAAACAAATATAAGAAAAAACAACATTAGCCCCTGGTATTACTATTAATACGTGCTGTGGTCCCAGATGTACTTGCGCGATATGCTCTAGACCCAGCCAACGTCTGCCCAGATATACAGGGAGCCAGTGTTAGAAGCAGAAGAACACTTTATAACAAATTAATTACAAAAATCAAATTAGAAGTAAAACGCTACCAGGACCACACTCAGGATGGATGGCCCTGGGAGATTCAGAGGTATCAAGAGAAACGTTCTGCATTCTGCTCCCTCAGAAGCCAACAGGCATGCAGCCAAGAGAAGGCTGCTGTGGCACAAGCAGTTAAAAGCACAAGCAGTGTGGCACAAGTGTTAAAAACAGCAGTGCAGATGGACTGAGACTCAGACATAAAGCAACTGCAATCTGAATGAGCTAACTGTCACTTCAAAAGAGAAAGTGAAAAGAACCATGTTTAACTTGATACTTCATTGCATTTCCTTTTCCATTTCTGAGCAATCCATTAAAATCACAGGCATACCTTTGTGCCAAGGCCTACTCCACTTTTGATCAGTTCGCAGAGCCGAGGAACCAGCTCACCCAGGATGGACACATCCAAGTACTGTAAGCTCTGGAGAAAGCCAAAGGACAGAAAAAAATGGTAAAGGTGAAGCCGCTCTGCTTCCAGCTGTGGGCTACCTTTGGTTCTGCATGCTGGTGTTTCGCTGCATTGTGAGAGTTTGCTGCGTGGTGCAAGGGGACTGTGAGGTAGCTTACACCACGTGCCCATTCCCTTGTACCACTTCTATGCTGAGATGACCTTGCTGAAATTAGCAGTTGCACTGTTGGTATGGATATATTCCTGTATTTCACCTTTTTATAAAAGTGAAAGTAGCACACTAGCAAGAAGTCCTTTTAGGGGGGGACAGCAGAGATGCAGATCGTGCATGTTTTAGGATAAAACCCAACATTCTTTCATGCGTCTAAATGCGGTTACCCTAATGTAGCCAAACTAGACAACAAAGTGAAACTACTCAAGACTTTTTTTTTTAACAGGTCAAGGCAAACAAGCAGAAAATATGAAATAAACATACAAAGATATTATTGGTGTGGTTTCTAATCTCCTGTGCCCAAGATGCTAGTGGGCAAAACAAAACGCCTCAGGTTACCAGCCATCTGTGTAGTTCTGCCTGTAGAGGGGGGGATCCATCCTCTAGCAAAGCCAAGGATCGCACATCAGCTGAAGGTAACCCCTTCTGAGCTAACCCTCAGAAGTCAGTTCTCCTGTCATGTCCCTCTCCTGCACTGATAAGGTAAAGGGAGAAGGGAATAACTGATTATAACCCACCAAAGAGTGTGATCTGCTCCTGCCTCCCAGCCAACCCTAGGATATACAGGAATAGAGAGAAGGGTGCTCGTGAACCAGGACATCATTGCACTGCTCTAAGGAACTTTGGGATCTCTCCCCTTCCATGGGAAATCTCAAGCAGTGATGGCCAGGGCAGCACAACTGTCCCCCATGCCTGGGAGGGGGAGAGGCATGGCCAGCATGAGGGACAGGAGAAGCTGCTCCAGCTCCAGCCTGCAGTGGATTGGTAAGGACACTTTTACAGGGAGCCTTTCATCCCCAAGTGCTTTACAGACTATTTATAGAGAGCATTCCACCTGACACCGAAATACAGCTCCCTCTGGCACAGGGAGTCCTAGCAGCTCCAAATGCTGTTAAATACGGAAGGACTTGCTGCTGTTACCTTTCCGTAGGTCCAGGGAACAAAGAACAGCTCTGGTGGCTCTGCTCTACCCAAAACCAGGCATGCCTGCTCCCATGTCCCTGGCTGCATGAAGTACTTGAGGAAAAAAGGGAGCTCCTCACTTTGGGAAGGGACAGGTTACACAGGGCAGTGCGCTCTGCCCTGCAGCACAGCACAGTCTGGGCATCAGCAACTCCTCCACTATCAGAAAACTACAGCGCCAAGCACTAGCTGCTGACAGGGTTTTCAGTGACATCACGGTTTTCTCAAAATGTCTCTACCATGTAAAACACTGGCAAAGCCCAAGTGGTGATGTCTACTGCACCAGGAACCAAGGACTGGACAGCATGTGTCCTAAAACCGATAACTTTATCATCTCTCGGAGGCCCAAGTGAGAATCTTATAGTGAAGTAACAGGACTAAAGATGACAAGAAATGGCAGCTAGCATAACCCAGAAACAGCTGGGTTATCCACAAAAGAGCACCTGAAAGATGCCCTCTTCCTCAAACAAGGCAGGTCCTTGGGTAGAGAAACAACTCTGACTTCAAATGGAACCACAGTCATTTACAACTGATGTGAGGGAAAAGGTGTAGGGCAGGGTAAGAGAACTCAGCATCTGAAAGAAGGTGGACAGACATCCACAGCGAGATGTGACAATAAAACAGAGCCTGAAGAGGAATTTGGTTAAGGTTTTTCTTTGAACCCTGTTATCCCACAACAAACCTTAAAACTGGAGCCCTCCTGAATGAATTACTTACCATGTTAATCGTTTCCATCATGGGCGATGACTTTACAGCACTAAGTCTGGCACTATCCATTGCAGTCTAAATAAAAGAAGGAAAAGATCAAAAACAAAAGTAAAGTCAACGTGAAACCAGTGGAAATGCCAGTATCAGCTACAACTTACTTCCTCACAAACTCACACCAGAACCCATTTCAGATGTGTGAAGATAAGGAAGACAAGAAGTAATTACTCCTACAGACTAATGAACGTTTCCTTTCTAGAGAGAGCTGGCTGTTCCAGCTGGTGCACAGGAGCTGAACTACACACGCCTTCATGAAAATGAAAAAAAATATATATAAGAAAGACCTGCTCTGTTACGTTGTCCACTTGCTTCTTACCCAGGACACTGCAAATGATTAATACCTGAGATGGGTTAATGGACACAGTACTGAGAACATCTCGCTCCAGCCCATACTGCTAATGCGCACCTTCTAATTATGTTATAAAAAGTCCTGCAGCTAAACCCTTGAGAAAAACAGTGCAAAGTTTGATAGTATAGGTGCAGTTCAGATAATTATTACAGACCCTCCCTTCCCTTCTTTCAGAGTTGTATATGGAGCTGAACAACATTTAACAACAGCTCTTACTGAGATCGCTCTTTACTTTCCGAAATATATGGAGGTGGAGTGTATTTAAAAAAAAAAAAAGAAAGAAAAAAGAAGAAAAATATCCTGACCGTCCCCATAAAACAATTCATCCAGCCATACTGCAATGACTGTTTCTTACTTTTTAGAGAATAAACTTTTTAGTGACTTTTTTTAGCGACTCATTAGCTATTTCTTGTCACACCTTTGAACACCCCTGAGAGGAATTTGCTATTTTTCTGCACATGCCCATAGAACATATGAAGCTCTAAATCTCTGTGTTTTTCCTCTGTTGATATTCTCCCATAATAATTGCACTTACTTTCTCCTGATCTGTTGCACAAAGACTCAAATAATTGAGAACCTGAGGCTCCAGCACGCTCAAGGACTCCAGCAGGGCTGGGATAAGTTTTGGTGTATGAGGTTTCAGCATAGATCCAGCACTTTTACTGATCTTCACGAGAGTGTTAATGCTGGAAAGAGAGCAAAGAGAAGATCACCACCAAAACCGACAGACTTAGCCGAAAAATTTTTCCGTTTCACTCTAATTCAGAACAGAAAGACCAATCTGGAGGTCAATTACACTAGTACAGATCTACTTGCCAACAGAAATCCCTGTGTATTTTTCTGCTTAAGCAAGATCAGATCAAGAACCCCAAGACTCCATGGACGCTATTCTTTGCACAGAGATCGTTCGGTTTGACGAGGGTACCACAAATGGAGCGGCCAAAGAGACAAATGCAGGAAGAAATAACATTTCTTCACGTTTTAAAGAATTTTCAGGCAAAGTCAGTCCAGAAATAAGTCTCTGCCCAAGAAAAACAAATTACAACAATCTGTTCAAATCTCACTGTTCCGTTTCAGACCAGCTGCATCTCTCAGGCTGCATTTGACAGTGTTTCCAAACCTTCAAAAGGAATTAAACAATTCAAGAAATATTTACTATAATTTTCTGGGAGCTTTTTAAAATTCCTGGATAATCATGTTCAATAGGAGAAAATTATTTTTGCAAAGACCTGCTATGCTCCAAGTCTGAATCTTGCAGTTTTTTGTTCATCGAGTAAAGGAAGCTATAAACAAGGCTACAAAGTGACAAGAATACAAAGACCTTAAATGTCAAGGGACCTGAAACTGTTACATGACATAAAACGTATCTGAACTGTATGACCAAATGCAGCCACCTCTGGAATGTGAACTGTCATTACTCAGCAACCACACTGGGATTTTTCATTTACAAAATGAATGGCAGCCTCAAGCACAGAAACTTCCTTGCAGATCAGTTTACCAGCTGTACAAAGCCAAAAGAATTTCCCGCTAGGATTTGAATCTGGGCATTTGCAAGGAGGCTAGATTCTACAAGGTCAAAATTTAAGACCAGTTAACCTTGCTGCCTATGCTTGTTTAAACAGAATGTTCCTGAGGGATAGCTGGGGTTCTCGGGACTGCTGTTTGAACTCAGTGAGAAAAGGAAAAGAACAGCAGGAAGGCTGCTTTGGGAAGGAATTTCTGACTTAAAACACAAAAGAACACTCTGCGATTCAGAGGGAAAAAAAAAAAAAAAAGGGTCCCCTTAGGATAAGCCATGGCACCACCCCCAAGGAATTGACAGGATGCAAAACTAACCTGAGAGATCGGACTTCGGTGACTGTGCTTACTATTCCCTTGTCTAGGAGGCAAGGGAGCAATACAGCTATGGTCTGCTGGCCTGCTGCTCCTTTAGATGGATCTACAAAATGAATGGCAGCCTCAAGCACAGAAACTTCCTTGCAGATCAGTTTACCAGCTGTACAAAGCCAAAAGAATTTCCCGCTAGGATTTGAATCTGGGCATTTGCAAGGAGGCTAGATTCTACAAGGTCAAAATTTAAGACCAGTTAACCTTGCTGCCTATGCTTGTTTAAACAGAATGTTCCTGAGGGATAGCTGGGGTTCTCGGGACTGCTGTTTGAACTCAGTGAGAAAAGGAAAAGAACAGCAGGAAGGCTGCTTTGGGAAGGAATTTCTGACTTAAAACACAAAAGAACACTCTGCGATTCAGAGGGAAAAAAAAAAAAAAAGGGTCCCCTTAGGATAAGCCATGGCACCACCCCCAAGGAATTGACAGGATGCAAAACTAACCTGAGAGATCGGACTTCGGTGACTGTGCTTACTATTCCCTTGTCTAGGAGGCAAGGGAGCAATACAGCTATGGTCTGCTGGCCTGCTGCTCCTTTAGATGGATCACACATTTTCACACAGACCTGGTGACAGATGAGGATCAGTGCTGCATGCATGTACAGAACCCCCTCTCAGACTACATTAAAGAATCTTCTCTGTCAGATGGAAAGAAGTCACAGCAACTACAGAAACCGCTCACAGCCAAACATAGGCTCTGCTACACCATTGTTCTCTCCTCCAGGAAGCACTCAAACAGTGAGTCAAGTTCCTAAAAAGAACTTCAGCTATGTTCAGCTTCCCAAAAAGGCGAATTTAGTGCAAAGAGGTGAGAGATGATTCACAACCTGATCGAAAGACAGACCACGCGACCTCCCAGGTGAAAGACAGTCTGTCTCAGCCACACAGATTCAACCATTCCATGAGGCAGAGCAGACCACCCCAGATCAGAACAGATTCTGACATCACTTGCAATGTTTTTGGACTGGATCACCACTTCTGCAAATGACATGTCATGTAGCATGCATTATCAAAGCTGTGATTTCAAACATAACTCTTAAAAAGAGTTACATAAAGTTACATAAACTTTCCTTAAACCTCATCCCCAAGTGGAAAAAATGTAAGGACATCAAGGGTCCATGAAGGCACATCAAGAATTCAGTATCTCCCTCCTGGGGTTGTAGAGAACGTAACATCACAGTCACCTCAAACGTCAGAACTCCACCAACACCAACAAAAGTACTCAAGTGTATGGGGCCAAACCTACTATGAATGCTTTCTAGTGGGCTGCTCTGTTTGTCACCACATCTCATACCAGAGATCTTTTCAAGACAACAGAAATGTCACTCCTGCAGAGATGGAAGTGAATGATTATCTGACATCACAAACATACACCTCTCCACGCGCAAATTCTAAAATTCGATTTTTACCTTGCTCAAAGTTTTTAGGGCTAGTTCTGCTGCTTTTCGCACGGATTCCTAAAAAAGAAGTCAGCAATCCATTCTTAGTATTTTTAAATCTCCTACGTAACAGTTCTTATCTGTACACAGCTAAAAGACTAGTATTGACAAAACTACATTCATGGCTAATAGATAATACCTCCCAAGTTACGTCTTTGATCCATCTAGTATTTGGTCTACTTAATGCCAAATACATTAAAAGTGCTGCCTGACACCACCAGGCTGTCTGCGCTTCCGTTCCTACTGCCTCTGTGGTATTATTGTTAGGTTGTCCTTTCCAAAAAATCTTCTACTACAAAAGGAAGTATATAATTCTTCCTGTATATTTTCTTGTCTCAGTAAAATGCCTTTTGCTTAGTGGTGCTTTACCCAACTGAATGGCTAGCATTACAGAGAAAGACTAAAAGCAAACAGTAAAATCTGTGCAGGTCCAGTGGCGCATGACAGCAACACGAACCAGACACCAGACTCTGACTTCATCTGCATTGATGTAAATTAAGGCAACGTCTAGCAATATTCCTGGGCCCTGGAACACAATTACTTAGACTGCGACCTTCTCAGGGTACTCTGGGCACAATTCTGGCCTGCCCCAAATAGACTTTCCCAAACCATTTCCAGTTAAAATTCAGGAACTAGGCTGTCCCAGGGACCTTTCCCTATAGGCAGTTTGCAGGCAGCTGCTCTGTTTTGGAGACTAATATAGTTCACTAGCAAAGTGGCAGGACATTCTGTGCCAACTGGCTTCAGTGACCAGGAACATTTCTGAGCACACTGAATTTACTAGTACGGAAGCAGCTGCATTCAGTGCGCTTTGGGAAACAGCTCAGCACTGCTTAAACTTGAGATGGAAAATCTGGTCCCAGGGAGAACATGGCTCAAATCTGGAAGGACTTGAGGACTTTGACTTCATATCTGCAACGCTCTTCATCAGACAAGCCGTCCAAAACAAATATTTCTGTCCTTAATGTTAGGCATACTTAAGAACTCTTTCATATCCAAGAAAAAGTACTGAATGCTCAAGGACAAGCATGTCAAGAATGAAAACCAGCGCTTAAAGGGCTAACTGTGAGTGGCCTGAGCTAGCAGTCCTCTTAATACCCCAAACCCCTATTGGCTTCAACTTGGCTTCTCAGAGAATCTCTTCTCAGTGATTATTTTAAATCTCTTTTTAAACACTTTAGAGTCTAATCACTGTACTTTCTGTTGCCGATTCCTTTTGAGTTATCACTTTTATTACCTTAATGTCATCTTGCACTCTAAATAGGATTTCCCAGATCTCTGGAAGTTTGTCTATAATGTCATCCAAAGGTCTTCCTCTTAGTAAATCATTCAGTGCTAGACAACTGCAAACAAGAAAGTTGTACTTCCATTACGTGGTGCATTTATTTGACACAAAATATATATCTATTTGTGTATATACCTAAAATATAAGGAAATGGCTAAAAAAACCCACTGAGAAGTGTGTTGTACATTCCTTACTTTCACCAAACCAAAACCACTGTTATAAGAACGGCTCCTTCAGCAGAGAAAAAAACATTCAGTCAGACAGGTGAAATCCAAAACAGGTGAGAGCAGGTGAGAAAGGCTGCTGTAGTGGAAATTCTAGCTAATGCAAATACTCCAGTTATGATGCTGTTTCAGATTTATTTTCTATAAAGCACAGGATCAGAAAAAAGCACAATGGCCTAAAGTCTGCAATTACGATTACAAAAAATATTTTGAATACAGCATAACTATAAACAAATATAAACAAAAAACAATTAACAAGGCTATACTGAATGGCATCCTACTGCCAAGTACATATATAGCCAGATCACCAATTCTAACTGCAACATTAGCAATTTTTCAGGTTCAAGGATAGCCAAGAACTTTGTGACTGGAAAACTACTCACTCAGAGAATGTTGTTTAATATTATGCTCAAGGTGAATGCAGTAAAAAATCTTTAGGTTTACTGAAGCAAATAGCTTCAGGATAGTATCACACCTCAAGTGTAGACTGCAGGACTGGACTCTGTTCTTAAAAGGACATGTGTCACCCTCCCCCCAACTTCCTCAGTTCAACAGGTTTATGGTGAATAAAAGAGATGAGAGGCTGAAGAAAAATCTGTTACTCTTCCAAGCAATACCTGGATTCTCTGATTCTCCACAGATTGCTGGTTAGGTTACTGATCAAGTCTTCAAGAATTTCCTTCATATACTTATCAACCTATTACGAGAAAAAGGAATAATTATGAAATAGCCATGTCCCACACACAGGACATGTCTTGCACTCTGGGGAGCAAAAAAAAAAAGAAAAAGAAAAGAAAAAGGATAATTTTGGACAACATATGCTTTCTGAGCCACCAGTCACAGCAGATGAACTAACCCTTACCCAAGCTGGCCCTGCACAGGCTTATTCTGACTCTGCCTTTCTCTCCACTGCTTCAAGGCTCAAGGTGTGAGAGAGACCACGGGGAAAGACCATCATGCTTCAGTTCTTCAACCGCAGGGTTTAGAAGCAGCAGCAGCAGCAAACCACGTATCTCACAAGAAAAGCACTTGCTCTTTGATGAGGAATCAGTCAATGACTTCACGCTAAGATTGGCCTTGCTAGGAAAAAGGCTTTGCAAACCCAATTCTAGACCTTTCAGAGCCAGAGGAAGGGAAAGTCCTGAAAATCACTTTTTCCTGAAACTTTCATTGGAAGAGCTGTCCTCAAACTGATGTCACAGCTTCTTCTCATCAGCTTCTTCACACCTGAAAAATCAGGAGCCATATTTGGAGGCCCCTGGCTCTGCTCTGGAAATGGCATCTTCAGCCGTAAGGATTTCTGAGGAACTTCTCATAGCCAACATCGCAAGTGCAGAAGATCCCACTTTCAAGTAAATGTTAGAAACACCAATTTCACAAAAAAAAAAAAAACCTGTGGAATATCCTGCCACATAAAAGAGGCAACACAAAGCCTCTGCGCATTCTCTACTTCATCCTTGGATTCCAGCATCTCTTGCTCTGTAGGACAGAGCTCACTCCTCACTCCTTTTTGCAAAGCCCCTCCTTCCACTAGATAAACTACATACTCCCTTCCCATGACAACCTCTGTGGGATGCAGCTAGCAGCAAGCCCACAATTTTGCTCTCTAGCAAGGCTTGACCTTCACTCACCATTGACTTGTCGGTGACCAAGGCGTTCCAAATGCTGGTCATTGCCTGCCGAATGCCAAGGTTGGGGTCAAACTGGTAACGGTAGAGCCGTGGAAGAAGCTGGGGCAAAAATGGAGCCAGCTGTTCTCCCGCTTTGGTGGCTATCACATTGAAACCGAAAGCTGCTCCCTGAAACGGTAACAAAAGAACATACGATGAAACAATCTGCTCACTCAGGTGCTGTTCCTGGGCACATCACAGTTAGTGGCAAAGCTGACTGACACAGTTTAGATACTAAGATAAAAGAGACTTATAGGGTTAGAGTGATAACAGAATCAGCCCTTGCCAGTGCTACAGTACAACAGTAATCTCAAACATACTATCGCACAGGGAAGAATATACTGCTCCAACACTTTCCTCCCTTATTTCAAAGATGTCCTGTTTGATCCCTTTGCAAAAGTGGTGGTGGAGAATTAAAACTTATGAAGATTTGAGTAGGTTTTTCCAAAAACAGTTTCTTTCTTTGAAAGACTGGTGACGCCAGACCACCGCTTCCTTAAAACTCAGCTGCATTTAGAAGAACCGAACACTTCAGAAATAATTTAGAAACTCAAAAATTAGAAGTGGAACAACTCCATCCTAACTGCACATTCTGGAAGTTCTGGGAATTATCATTTTGCAAGTGTTCATAGTTGCTTTAAATCCAAACATTCATTCATCTTCTTCTTCTTCTTTTACAACAGGGCCCCACTGTCAATTCTGACACAACAGGACAGATACTTGCCCATGGAATCCCATGGGAATTGGCAAGATAATCCAAAGAGGAACTGCTTAGTAGCAGCAGCGCAGGGGCTGTCTCTAGGGGCTTCATCCACATTGCCTGACTCACAGTGTCAAAGCTGCCACTCAAACTCCACTTTAGGGATTTACAGGACAGGACGTACTTTCTGGGTCACAGCCTAGAAAATCAATACTAATAAAAACAAACTCTGCCCTTATTCTCAGTGATGACCACTGACCGATGATTTTGCTGACTCATCCTGGCTTATGAAATGCCACAAAGTTAGGAGGGACCTGGCTGCACACCTGTAGCTCCCAGAGTCCCAGGTGCAGTGAGAGGGAAGTCTTGAGAGATGTGATGACTTGTCCGACTTTGGACGAAAGTTAAAGCTGAGACTTGCTTTTTGCATTAAGTGGCTTTGCCAGAAACTCAAAATCTCAGGTAGGGAGCCCGCATGCTTCAGTATAGAAGATACAGCCTACTTGGATCTTCTGCATGAAAGGACATGAAAAGTACACTGCCTGCTCCCAAGAACAAATTCTTCTACGTTTATGTAAAACCAGTGAAAAAGACAGGCTCCAAGTTAGAGCTCTGCGAGTATACATAAATTTCAAAATTTATTTTTGCAGGCAGTAGATCCAATAGTATTTTGGCTTTGATAAAGGTTCCAGCAGCTTTAAAATATCAAGACTTGAGCTTCTTGGTAAGTTATAAAAAGGACACCATTTAGACAACAGCCGTTAAACTGGTGTGTTGGGAACTGGGCTTCTAACCGCTTGTTCCTGAATACTTTGTGCTCTGCCTACTTATGTAACAAAGCTCATTTCTCTTGCATCTAAAAAACTCACCTAGTTCTGAAAATACTAACTCATTGTCTGAATACGTCAGGACCTGGCCTCTAAGCGCTCCCAGAAATAACAGGAAAGGATCACAGTTGATTCAGAGAGGAATGTAGGATGATTTGAATAGTGTGATACCAGTGTTTTGTTTTAAGAATTTCAAGTAATCTTAAAGTTGCTTCTTAGAGCGGTGAACCTGCACTAGACCAGACACCAAAGAATCAACACAGAAAAGCCTCCACAGGCAGTTCTGCATCAAATACCCAGAGTCAGAGAAATGCAGTTTTTGTTTTCAGAGTTCACAGAGGGAACGGAAGTGGTACGAAAGCAGTAAATTACCTTCCGAGAATTCCACATGGCATGATGGTTGGCCAGATTCATGAATTTGTACACCAGGTCTGGCTGATTAAGATCACTAGCCAGTGAACAAAGCTCCTTGTAAGTAGAAAGACCTTGACTTTGGAAAACAGAAGGAAAAATTGGTATCACTGTTTTTAGCTACAGAAACACCCTAATATCTATAGTTATAGTCAAATCATAGCCTAAAGCAAATAGAGAGAAGTGAATATTCTATCTGTGCGAAAAACTCAGGGAACAGACCTATATGAAAGGGAATACCGTTTCAGCATGGATTACATGTGCCCTCATCAAGACTGCCAGTAAACTTACCCATCTGGAGTTTTGCTCAGGCCACCCTGAAACACCACAGTTTCTCCAGTCACCTCATGTTTGGCTCTGGTGGTAAAAGAGGTCCAGTATTAGCTTTGCCAAACCCTGTCCTTGAATGGACTGCACACTACGGAACAAGTGAATTTGTTTTGCTCTATTAGCTCAGTAACTTCCCGTTCTTTAGGTTCCAATCCTGCAAAAAACATACAGGTGTGCAAAACCACACACACTGCAAGGAATCTCATTAACCCTTATCATGTGTATTATTAAGGAGAAGCTGCAGAAAGTTAGCGTTTTGCTATGCAATGAGAAGGTCAAAGTCAAAACACTGAATGACAGCTTTTTATTTCAGCCCAGACACAAGCCACATCATGGACAGCAGATTTGTACAAAGAGAGCACATCCCTACTTCAAAAGGAAAACATCCAATTTCCATTCATCTTTTCCTCTTCTCAGCCACCAGAGTCTCCCACACTGCTAGCCTAGATTTTTGTCATTCACAGTGGCCACATCCACGCTGGGTTAGACAGGAGCAGGCTACTAGAGGAATTTCCAGCACTGATCCAACATGATTACTAGTCAGCAGTCTTGTAAGGCCAGTATTTACTGCACTAAAACGGACACGTGACCATTAACACTTAGCAAAAGGTGCATTTCAGATACAAGGCAAATCCCCGGATCTGTAACATTTACATTGTTCAGAGTTGCTGCAAGAGGCTATTGTCCTCTGCAATCACACAATGCAGCAAGCAGGGAATCCATCCAAACCAAAACCAATTTGAACTGCTTGAAACAGAAAAGAATCATTATTTAGAAGCTTTGCTGAACTCAAAACGGAATAAAATTTGGAGCAACTTCAGTCACAACAAACGCTAATCTAAACTGAGAAATGTCACAGTTCATTCACCCCCCTGGCAGTATGCGGATATCGCTTTCCCCTGCCACAAAATATCTCTCTCCGCACAAGAGAGAAACACATTTTTGTTCCCATCAGACCCACAGCTCAGAGTGCTCTCTGTGTTCTAGCTCACTGTACCTTTTCCCAGTCATAAGGTTATCAACGAGTGTGGTGACTAGCTCTTGCTGATCCTGTTCACTTCCTAGTTCATATACCAGCCCAAGACCTTTTGAAGCAACGTCTTGACTAAGCTCTGTAAGAGATTTTACAAAGTAAAGTTGAAGAAGAACATGTAGGTAATAATAAACAAATTCCAACAAGATCCAACTAAAATAATCATCTGGAAGCAGGAGGTCTGTGCTGCATTTCACAGTTCTCCGTTTTACAGCCAATCTATTCTGGCAAGACATAGGCTTTGGATTCTGAAGCAGTAGTTTGTTCTGAAAGCACACATCCCCACCAAATTAAGTGACATCTTTGTATTAATATTGTCAATGCTCACTTTGAAAAAGCAGAGAGCCTTCCAAGCGCTGTAAATCTTCTGTTGAAACACTGCTGGCCTCTGAACACAAGTCCAGTGAAACGGACACAAGTCCACTCTCCTCTTTGACTTCCATGAGCTCTGATTAGGCCATCCATTAGCCTTCCACTACCTGCCATGCGTGGACATTATAAGCTACAACCTACTGAAGAGGACTGAGAGTTCCTGTCCGTGTATAACGCCATCAATATGCACACTGCTGACCAATGCAGAGAAGAAGCACTGAACAGTTTCTGTTACTAAAATCTGCAGGGGTAAATGCAGGAAAAGATTTGTGCTAAGGTAGCTGAGCATTCCTTTTCTACGGACCTCTTTTAATGTTGGCTGACAGAGGGTGTGTACATGACTTTCTGCCTGTTAACGATTCCCTCCATTCTGTTAGGAGCCTACTAAAAGACAAAACTCCTAAGATACAATAGTACTTACCATCACTATCTGACAGAATTGAAACAAATGCACCTTGAATGTCCTTGAGATGAGACTGAAAGATGAGAAAAAGGATATTATTTTTATTTCAGCTTTTGCATCCTTCGTCTGGTCTCAAGGCAGGTCTCTAATAGGTAGGGGTTATTTTATCAGGGGAGCTGCCTATCTGAGATACACCTACAACAAGAACTACCCTCCATTTCAGAGAGGTAGGCAGCAGCCTGACTGCAACTCACAAAACATGAACAGTTACTCGCCTCACTTCTACAGCTCCCAGGCCATTTATAGATCACATACTTTATTTTCGTTTTCTAATACATGGCAGTAACGCACAGGCCATAAGTCTGGCTTGCAGGCAGAATGGGCAGTCCTCTATATGAGGACACCTTTCCTCCATCCTCAAACTGGAGGATTTTGCCACCTCATGTAAGATCCATTGTTTAGACAAGCATAATACATGGCAAGGTTTACACGTAACAGTAAACTTGCAAAGCACCTATCCTCCCAAAGCTCTTTAACAATTACCTGCAGAGCACCGCCAGAAAGCGGTTACATGGCCCTATCACAGCCCTCTGTACTGGGAGAGGACATGTCAGTTGGAAATATTTTATCAAGTCCCTGCATAAGGACCTTTCACTTTTTCAGTCTCTCATCAGAGATAAGCACCCTAGGGTTTTCATTAAAGCACATCAAAAATACTAAGTACAAGAAGCACTGGGCAGCAGAGTTGTGATAAACTCTGTGAAGCAAATGAGCCAAGGAATTCCATTTGAACTTTCCCCATTTCCTTCCTCTACCTCCTTTTAACATTTTTGCAAAAAGAAATCCTTAAAACTATAAAGACACCAACCTCTTCTTCACAAGGGAAGATGTACTGGCACTTCATCTCATAACAGCTATTTACAGCAACATCAGACTGACCTGAATGCAGGTCAGATGTTACAAAGGTGGCAAATAGCCCCGCTCACCTGCCAATGAATATGCTCCCCTAGTAACGTTAAGACAAGCCATGTGTCAAAAAGATCTCAGTAAGGACTGTAGCAGCACTGGGAAAAGGGGGAAATGGAAGTGAAGGGGAAGGGAGGTACTGAAAGGAAGTGAGGAGCAAAAGCAGGGACGAGGAGCCAGTGGTTTGAAAGAAGCATATTTCTTACCTTAATTGCTTTGTGTGTGCTCAGCTTCTTCACCATGGACAGAAGCCAGATGCAGGCTGCCTGCCTAATGTGTGGGTTGGGGCTGATAATGTGCTTGTTCAAAATAAGGTCTAGAACCCAGGGAACCACATCATTCACTTTCACATCTGTGTGAAAAAAAAAAAGAGGTAGGGGAAGGGAGGAGTTTTAACTAACAGCCGCTTTTATTTTTAATTGCAATATAATGTGCAAAAGCAGGGGAAAACCTAATCAGCACATGAGTACTCAGCTGACATCTTCACCTTTGCTGATTCAGTTCACTGGAAAAGTTTTTGTCCTGGAAAAAAAACACTGAATAGAGGCCTCCTAACCCTCCCACCCTTACAGCACTCTGAGTAGTGTAAAGTTCACTTTACACTACAAGTAGTGCAGTTCTCAGACTGCAGAAGATTCACTGGACTACATTTAATTGTTGGGAGGACTCAAAATTTCTGAAAGAAAAGCAAACTCCACCAAGTTCTGCACATGCTCAGCTTTCTGTACGGTTGAGATCTAAGACCACTCTCCCTTAAAATGCTAAGTACCTGTCTGCCCAGCTGAGGCTGATATTTACATCTGCCTGTTTTGGAGCTAGCATTTTGTCATTCTCATACTTTAACGAGGCCAGAATCTCAGTCCTTACACAAGCTACCCAGAGTCAGATAGATATGCAGAAGAGTGCACCTCATGTAAATGTCACTAATCATATCAACCCAAGTTGCTGAGAAGAGACTTGAAATTTTACCTTACAACCCTGTTTTCCAAGTCTGGCTTCAAAATGTTATTTTAAAAGGTTTTTGCGTGTCAAATCTCAAACTAACTCAACGCAGCAAACTACAGTGAAAAAATTAAAAAAAAAATGCAGTGTCAAATAGGGATGAGACTTCATCAAGAAACTATTTAAACAGCAAGTGAAATAAAGTATTTTACCCTTTGACTAGATGGCCTAGGATGCATAAATCACCCAATATTGCAAAACACAGAGCACTGTGCAGTAACAAATGTAAAATGTCTCTTACTTCCTCCACTATGAATTAGGCCCAGAACGGTAAGATTTTACATTCCTCACTGTAGCATTCTGCATTAGGGAGGCCTACCTGGAGGAGGGATATATTCCTCCTCTGTGACTGTCCATGCATCACGTGCAGCCACTGAGCTGGTTCCCACTGCAGCACTGGTAATAGCTTCACCAACGGTGAACTGCAGTTCTATTTGTTTGGCCTGAAAACACACAAGAGAACCTCAGTGACTGACAGTACTAATTAAATAAACAGTAAAACTTTTGCTTCTCCACAAAACTGCAGTCTCTTCCCTCTACCCCACTTCTCAGCACCAATTTGCAATAAGATCACATTTTTGCTGAGCTTCTGAAACTCTCTGGCAGCCCAGCCCCACTGAAGTTGACGGAAACTGAGCCCGTGTCCAAACTGCGAAAACACCTGATGAGAGCTAAAATCTCCACACCCATTTTTACAACACAGCTCCTACAGAGCATTTGCCAGTCTCTCGGCAAGTTCAAATTAGTGAACATAAGAAAATGGAGAGATAGGATCAAAATAATACAAACAAAAATTAAAGTGAGAACAGGACTACCAGTTACTAATTAAATTACTGTGACTTTCCCTTAAGCAGTATGTAAGCAGTAGTGAAAGATCCTCCTGCAGTTCCATCCAGAAGCTGATCATTGCTAGGAGAGGAATAAATTTGTTTTCCACATAAGAAAAGACAGAGCAAAAATTCTGCTTTGTTTCTGTTCTCTCTGCACGATTGCCTAAGGCCCTCAGGAAGAGAATAGGCAGAACTCTGCCACTTCTTGTCATTATTTATGATGAATCTCTAACCATATGAACTGGTTTCCATATCTGTTGAGTATGTTCCAGATTGATTCCCTTAACTCTGTGGAAGCAGAAAATGCTCAGGCATTTGGAGAAGTAAGCCCATGGCTTCCTGCAGTCTAAGATGATTTTTTTTTTCCAAGTACATATTTTAAAAAGAAAGCTGTAATGTCCTTGAACAGTTCCAGGAGATAAACACGGCACTCAGAAACATCATTTTGTAAATGTGTACACAATGTTCTTACTATTTTTGCTTGTTTGATTACAACAGACCAGATGACGCACCAAAGCTAGCCTGTTCTGCTAGCTGCTTCTACAACACTGAATCCTATGTCAGTGCGATTAAGGAAGAAAGGTAAAACCAAACTGTAAATGAATAACACTAAAAAAAGCTCCCTGACTATTTAATTTTGCTGCCTTGCATGCTGCAGTAACGTGAAGCAGCTATGAAGGAACACAGTGCACTAAAATAAACCCTGGTGCATGCAGACTGGACAACACAAAGCTTCCGATGAAGAAATAAAGCTGCTAATTAAGTGAGGTACATCGGTGGATGCCATTCTAATGAGAAAAAACGTTGTATTTACACTATTAACTTTTAGGGTACTTTTGAAGGCCCAAGTACAGACAGACCTAAGGCTTCATTAATACAAGCCCTTATCATTTTACACATACAGACAGCCCTCCTAAATGGGAGGACATATTTATATCAGAGGCTGCGATAGAGACCTCAGCTGGCAGATTTTTTAAATTCAAAAATATTTTACGTCCACATTTTACAAGCCCCAAATCTACCTCAGCTCTCTATTCTTAGCCAGCCTTAAAAAAATCTAGATGCACTATTGTAAAAAGACAGCTCAATGTCCCCTTGTAAACTTGGCCCTGGAGCACTTAAACAGCATTCAAATAGGAATACATGCTGCAGTATAATGAACAATGTGTTATTAGTGTCTCACCTCCACAGAATCCATTAAACCTTGCAACAGTAGCTTCTGGTGGGGAAAATCTTCATCTCCCACTGGAAAGTAACCTAATGTTTGTATTGCTCGTTCCTTCATCTTAAATATAAGCAAATAAACAAACACCAATCACACCAATCATTTTCCTCTAAGTCCAGAAGATACACTTTAAACTACTCCTTCCCACCTCCTTAATGAAGTTTACCTAAGGTGCCAGAAGTTAGACATGCTAGAAACTTACCGGATCAATCACTGCACCTCCCTTCCAAAACACAACTTTTCCAAATGATAGGAAAAAAAAAAAAAAAAAACAAATGTCTTGCTACCTTTGAGAATTATTCTCCAGGCTAGTTTGTTCCACTGTAAGAGATGATCGTCCTGATTTTTTTTTTTAATTAAGATTATCACTTTTCATAACTTTCATCCCATGAGCTCCTACTTAGGAAGGTACAAAGGACACACTATCAGGAGTTAGACAACACTAGATTTTCCGAAAGCCCTTAGCCTAATTCTGACTCGCTACAGCTGATGATAATTCTAACTAGCTTTAGTAAGAGCTCCTTTAATAATCAAAGGATGAGTTTGGTAGACAACACATGAAATTGGCGACGGAGTATTCCAGAAAGGAACAAGAATCATAACAACATTACAATATCTTGCCTTATTTGTTTCCTTGCTGGAAGGGATTCGGGCCAATAAGCTTTCAACAAGTTGCAGCTTTGTAAATCCTGTGCCTTCACTGGGGATTGGCAAAGGGCCGTTCCTGCCAATCTCCCCCAGAGCTGTGCAAGCAGCCACCACGAGGAAGGGTGAGGTGCTGTCCAAAAAAGAACCTACAGGAAAAAGCAAACAGGATGACTTGGATTTTGTGTTATTACTTAGCAGTGGGCAGGCAGGCAGGCACTTACATTTTACCCAAGCAAGAAGCTAAGTTCCTATCTCCTCTACAGCTGGAAGGAAGCGTTAGGCTAGGACAGGAGTCTAGGCAGTGGCACCACACCTGTATGTGCTGTGCTGGTCTGTGACCTAAAAGTCTGTTGAAATCTTGTGGAGATGGCCTACGTCCATATTTTGGATCAGACAGAATGTACGGTCTTTAAAAATGTTATTAGACAAGTGAATTCAAGATGACGTATCTACAGGCTGACTATCATAGAAGTGTCCTCAGCCAGGGGTGACGGAAAAGCAACTGTCACATGCAACAAAGTCTCAAGTGGAAAGTTACCTATTGTCTCTGTCGTCAACTTTATGAGCTGTCCTTGTTCCGGCATGACTGCAGTGTTTGGTGGTTCTATATCATGTAGCTCCATTGATCCGATTTTCCTTTTGGCCAAGTATCTTCCTACTGTAAATCCCAAAGCCAACAAGGAGCCGTGTTGGACCTCCGGGCTCTACAGACAACACCAACAATGCGGAAAATCTCATTTTCAAAGTAAGCAGCAGCACTTTGCAAATAGCACTGATTTAAGAGCATATATGGGCAAGCCAGCTAAAAAGGCACCCTGAAGAGTTCTGAGTTTTAGCATATAATGCAGCAAGAGACGGTTTTGTATTGCTAATGCTTTCTGATGAATGGAGTGCTTTAAGAATAATTTTAAAAACTCCTAATAGATTTAGAAAGACAGATTAAAAACTTATCACCAGAACTCACGTTCCTAAAGTCTTCCTGTTGGTGGCTACAGCAAAAACACCCCATCAGATCTCGTTCAAGTACAGTGTTTTGGAGAGGAAACAAGATACTGCTACACTGTCTCTGCTTAAAAACTGGAGATACTCAGATTAAGGGGATAGACTCTACTCTCGAATAAAAAGCAGTGCTGAAGTGCAATTACTCAAGATTTGCATTACTTGGAGTGCAAAAACACTTGACCTACTAACAGTGAAGGTAGCACCTCCATGCAGTTCGGTAGGCCACAGACTGTGAAACCTAATTATCACAATTAAATATCAAGAATATTAATTTCTCCAATAATGATATGACACTGAGAATATTTAACAATGGTGCTTTCTCCCACAGGTGAATTCTAGCAAAATGATTTAGTACAGAAATAAGACAGTGAAACTGAAATGCAGCCTTAATGAAAAAATGAGAGGGAGGCAGGGGATTACACTCAGATTAGTTCAGTGGTCTGTTTTTGCCACAGCTCTGCAGAAAGCTGTATCAGCGCACCTCTGCTGCCTGGATGGGAATCTCAAACTTGCTTTGCCACCAGGGACGGCTCCTTGCAGTGGTTTCACAAGCAGAAAAGCCAGGTGAAGACAGGCCCTTTACTCCTCTCTGCTTCAGCTACGGTCCACCACTGTCTCTACTGAGCCACCTAAGATCACTGCCCTACACCCTTACCTGTATTGATTTATCTGACTTTGTAAGTTTATGCTGAATCAGAGCACTAGCTGACACACTAGCTGACAAATTCAAAAATGCGTTTTTTTTTTTTTTGTTTGTTTTGTTTTTCACTTCAGGTTTCATTTTCCTTTCTATTTTAAGGCACGTTCTGTGAAAGGTCAAGCATGGCTTCACAGACTACTGGATAAGCAAGAACAGAGGGGCAAAAAGCAACTGTCAGGGGCTGAGACCCTTCTGTGACGGCTTTGTAACTGCAGAAGCTGTACCTAAGTAACAATAAGCAATGACACGGCTTGGGATCCCAGACTCAACTTTCACACAATTAAAGTAATTCGTGTCTGTTAAATAAGAAACAAAACGATCAGCACTTCTTTTCAGCATTTGAGTATATATCATCTGAAACTAAAAACGGGGGCCAATTAAGTCCTTTAGAGAAAACGAGATTAAAAAAAAAGTTCTGGAGAAATGTAGTTTAAAAATGCTAATACCTTCCACAGCTTTCAGAATTCGAGACATGCCAGGAAAGAAATACACCCAACTTCTTTTCAGAAAGGAAGTTTTCATGACTCCTTCTCTAGTAGCGGCAAAATCCAGAGATAAAAATAAGGTGAGGGAGAAGGAGCTCCAGAAGGAGGGAAAGAAAACCCATCTTTGAGCATTCAGTTACAGGAGGTGGAAAGCTGCTAACCAGTCCATTGTGAGGGCGGAAAGAAGCCCGGCCTTCCCTAGCAAAGGCCCTGAGGTGATGGGAAGCCATGAAGGTGCTACGGCTGAGCTGGGGGAGGGGGATGAGTAAAAAGTTAAACATTTTCTTAGTTCTCTGGGTGCCTTTAATTGCTCATGAGTAGGGACTCAAACTGTCTGAAGTAAGTAATATGACCCATTACCAATCAAGGGGACAAAGAACATTTAGCTTACTACAGCTGGTGAACATATGACAGCTGTGCTTATGAGCATTGTTTCTAGAAAATCCTCTTACTAACCTCAATAATAGCTTCAGGGATCACCCACCTACAACAAGAACCCCTTCCCATCATCCAACTAGAAGCCAGGTAGTTAATTTTATACCCACAGTAAGGCTAATACATCCTAGACAAAAGCAAGAACCAGATTTTCTGTTAGTCAAGTGACACTTTAAAAACAACAGGAAGTAGACAGAGAAAGATAATCACATGATTGTCTTTCGTCATCTTGATCAGCTGCTCTATAGAGGCCCTAAGCTCATCACCAGACATTGTAGACAACACTACGGAATAAAACAAGGCTGCAAGCTCACGCATTTCTTCTTTGTTCGTGTTCATCAGGCTCTGTGGAAATTTTCAAAAAGAAATAAGAAATGTGGAATCAGCTTCTTAAACAATCTGTTCATACCTTGTTCCCATATATAAGCACACTTGTCATGCAACTACATAATTAGTAATTAATTCTGAAGCCTTTCTTCATGCTGAGAGCATTATCCGTAAGTAACAAACTAAGCCTTCAAGTCAGCAAAGCGCTTGCTGCACTTGATTCTTATCTTTTGGAGGAAGATTACTACTGGCCACAAGAGGTCTAGTCCTCATTGTCTTCAGAGAAGAGCTTCGACATCACATCTAAACTGAGCTTAAAAAAATAAAAAACTCCTACAGAACTGCAAATAACTACTTTTCCTGAGTTACAAGAGGCTTCAATTTTCCTTTTATCAATCAAAGAGAAAAAAACTGAAGAGAATTAATTCCATGGTGATACAAGAAATGTGGCGAGGAATCACAGTACTCAATATGAATCTATCCACTTTGTATGCAGAACCTTTGAACAACTAGGTTGCTAAAAAGTTACATTCAGGAAGCCTCAGGCCATTTTTTAAATATATTACCCTACCTCTGCTATTAGTCTGAAGCATAATACAACACCTTCACATGAAAAATTCATACTTAAGATTTTGAATGATTTTTTCAGTGATTTTGAAAAAAAAAAAGAGATAAGCAAACAAACAAGAAAGTACTGAGATCTGTCAGGCTCCTGAAAAGAGAACTCCAGTTTCAACTCAAAACCTACATCACATCATGTAGCTGACTTCTGACAAGCCGCTAGACCTGTTCCCTCATTCCTACCACTTCGCCAGGTAAAATCACACAAGGTTTAATTTATGACAATATTTCTGGAACTAGGCAGTATCAGTTACCATCTCTGTAAGTACAATTTAGCAAATGGATACCCTGCCAAAGAAAAAGAAAGTTTTCCTGCAAAGGATAAGCAATACTGAAAAGGAGTGTTTTAAGTCCTCTTCTTTGAAACTCAATACATGCATCTAAATAGACATTTTAAGACATGTGCATCGGCACAGATAACAGCAAGAGAATTCATCAGAACACATTCTCATTCTTATTTAGCTTCACTATTTTTTTCAGGGCAGAACCTCTACTGAAAACAAAGGCTCTGCAATCTGTAAGAGGTTAGCAAATTCTGGATGCTTAAAGAGAATAATAAAAAAGAAGGCATCTGCCTGAGAAAAAAATCCAAGGAAAAGTGCGTTCTCTTTGGCTCAGTCCCCAGTGCGCTCTAGTTTATCTGGCTTCCATTTCAGGGGAGGGGGGAAAAAAAAAAAACCTGCACAGAAAGGGCTCTAAAACAATCAGTGATCTAATTTTTCTCCTTTTCTGGGAAGCAACTCACTCACATCCGCCAAATGGGACATCCCCATTTTTAAATAATTTGCTGAATTTTGTTTTCATTTTTCTTTTGCTGCTTAACAGATCTTCTGATCAAGAGGAAAACTACTGACTGACTACTCCAAGGGGATCACCGAGACAAACTGCCCAGAACATGTAGGTCACTGTAGAAAAACAAGATTATTAAAGAACCAAAAAACTCTTTTCCCTTGCATATTTCATATAGCATCTCATAAGCTGTCTACTGGAGGAAGGGAATATCAGATTTCAAATTAAGTGCATGCTTTACAAATAACATTCCATTCCACCTGGAGAAAATGCCAGATTTTGCTAATGCTAAGCCTCCCCCCACAACCCAAACCAAACCAAAGAGTTTTCAACATACCTTTATCCAATCCATTTTGTCTATGAATCTGGTGGCTAGTTTTTCCGGGTATACTGAAACAACTTCCAGGAGACAATACATGACTGGCAAACCTAAAAAGTCATTAAAGAATCAATTTATTTCAAAAAAATGCAGTATTTACAGCAATGTAACAATCAGTGATAAAAAGAGGTATGAAACATGGGGCATTTTAAAGTATCTATTTGCAATTAACTAGAGATACAAAATAATATGGAACAGTGGGATTTAATATTTCCTAGAGACACTAGACAAACTAGCAGAAGCAAACATTCTGGCAGCAATTTGTTCTATAAGTATTCAAGTACTTTAAGGCTACCCTTGTTTCAGATATGCTCTGATGAAAATGAGGAAGTCAGAACATAGGAAGCATTCACAGGTGAGGAGGCTAGTAAAAATACAGACAGTAGCCTCACAGTTTTAAAGCACTATCTCAACGGATGGCACAATTTTACTATGTTACTTTCTCCAGCCTACACAGTAGTATAGGAGGGAACACTTTAAGCTGGAGAGGATATAGCTGTGTTGCAATTTGGTGACTGCTGACGCCAAATTCAAAGTACTGGGTGTGACAACTCATTTCTCACGACCGACTTCCTTTTCTTTCTTAAACATGCTGCAGCACATAGCTTCTCACCTCCAACCCCAGATAACAGCTGCTGAAGAAGGCCAACATATATCTGCACAGGGTTAGTTTCTCCGCTTTTTGAAGAGGATGAGGAAGAGAAGGATATGTGGTCACCAGCCATGAGGTTTCTTATGTAACGCCCAATGGCTGGAGCATGATCTTGCATATCTGCCAAGCTCTGTGAAGTTGGTACCACACCTGCGCTGTGAGCAAGACACATCCGTAGGTACAGGACAATCTAAGCAGAGAAGAGAAAAACACAGGATTCTCATGAGTGCACAAGCACCTGGACGCAACCCTCTTTCAGGTAGTTCAGCCTGTACTCTGCACCAGTTTGGCAGGCCTCATCCCAGTGCATCACTAATACAGATCCTGCATCATATCTGAATTTGTGTCTACAACCCAGTGAAGCCAGGAAACCTGCTAGCAGAAGAACGGCCTCAAGGAGCATGATGGGAAACTATACAGGATGGCCAGCTACTTCCTTTGAGAAGCTATTATGTTAGGTACACCTCAGAAAACAGCCCTCTCAGAAACATTCCCCCCAACCCTTGTAAAAATCCTGCTCAGACCTGTTTAAGGACAGATGAACAAAGTGAGCAGAGTTTCTTCCAACATCTGCTTATTTGAGAAAGTTTAGAAGGTAGGGTGACTTATGATAATGTTCCTTTAGCCTCCTGTACCTCCTATATATCCTATATATTTAGCCCTCTAAATAAATAATGGTACACATAACCAAGGAAGTGAAATACTGACAATTACCTCCCCAAACGTGGCAGGATTGAAAGGCAAGGCTGCAGTTCCAGTCATATACTTAGCTGGAGTTTTCATTCGGTGAGAGGCCTAAACAACAGAGTATATTAAGAGTAGAGTATTCAGCATGTGAATAGCCCAGATACTAGAAACGTCATCAAAATGTTGCTGATGCACGCGTATGGTTACCCTCCAACTATTCGGTGAAAACATGCAACAGTTCTATTTAAAAAAGGCACTGTACACCTGATTGGAAGACCCAAAGCACACTGTAGAGCCATCAATTTTACCTCTGTATTAGAACTGGAAAAATGTAAATTCTGAGTTCATGAAAGGGAAAGGCAGGAGGCTGGAGGAGGGACAACATTCCCCCAACCCCCACCAAGACAAAAAAGGTGTTTCTGAATTTTAAAAACTACCTCCAAAACTTCCACATTCAGCATCTGCACAGGTGAGCAGCAGCCAAGCAATCTTGTAAACTGCAGTGGAGCGGGGAGGCTGCTGAGTAGCCAGGTTTCCCTCGCCCTGGGAGGTGGACACCTTGGGAGGTGTGCTCCACCTACCAAGAACCAGGGAGACTAAAGACTCTGCTGCCTGGCAGCCTCCCAGGTGACAAGCTGGTGCAGCAGGTGAGTAATTCACTTCCATGGAAATACTAGCTTTGACAGGCAAGAATATTCCAACAGAAAAACATGAAAACTGAAGACTTCCAATGACATCCAGTACCAACGCTCCAGAGACGTGTATCGGTATTCTCTAGACAATATACACACTAGCGCTAGGGCTGGATTCAGTAACGCAGCCTCGTGTGCGAGTAAACACATATGTTTGCTGTACAGAAACTAAGAGATCCTCAGATCTGTTTTTAGATCCTTTGCTGAGCTAAAACCTCAATGACATCCAGAACCATTAGTGAATGCCCTAAATAATGAACTAGAAGACTTGCTGAAGGAGTTGGTTCCATTTTGCATTTAGCAAACTAGGCCCTACTCTGATTTCAAATACTCTTCCTTGTAGAGGGAAAAAAGGATCACAGTCATGCAGGAAAGCCATTTTACGTCTTGGCCTGCTGCACCACGCAGTACATATAAACTTCTGAAAAATCTCCAACACTTGCAGATAACTCATGATACACATGTGCAAATTAACACTTTGAGATGACCAACAAAAAATTACTGAGGTATATTCCTTTATGTGCCTTCAGGACACGTAGGGAAGATTTGAAAAGTACTCAAAAAAATTTTTTTAATATGTACAAGAGCAAAGATATCTTGTTTTTCTCAGTAATTAATTAGACTAAGCTGCTTCCTAGAAATTTAGTAACTTTACAAAAGCTAAGAGAATTTTAAAAAATAAACTGAGAGGGGACAACCAATTATTAGTATTACTTAAAACTCTGAATTTTGGTTTCTTTATTTTTTTACATCTACCTGAGTAACCAGTATTTTGGACAAAATGAGGTTTCTCCTAAAGATTCAAATACTGCAAACACTAGTAAACCACAGCACTAGTAACGTATGTCATTTCACAAAAAAAAAAAATCTCAACTAAGAGTTTAGCCATCAAAGATCTCTCCCAAAACCAGATGAGCTCCAGCCTGATACTTCCATTTTTAAAGAAGGAGATTATCAGAGGGGAGGGAAAAAAAATGAATTGACAGTGATCTTTCAGGTCTTCCTTGTAGCTCAACAAGCCCCCAGAAGTGCGCAACACCCACTGGACTGTAACACCTTTCCAGGCAATCTCTCAACGCAAACAGTGAAGATACAAATGAGTATGGCTTTGGGCATTTCACACACAGGCAGAATCGCATCTAGAACAGCTGAGATTGGAAGTGACCTGTGGAGATCATCTGGTCCAACCCCCCAGCTCAAGCATACTACTAGACTCATGAAAGGTCTCTTATACGGCCCTTATTTACACAGGTTGCAATGAAGATAAATAATTAAAGCCTTTTGAGTTAGCAAACCAGACTTCTTTATTTGTTCCAGTATCTCCTTTCCTGTCTGAAATCCTTTTTTTGTGTTATGCATAGTATTGTTTTTCTCTGGCCTATCAAGGAAGTGACTTACCTATCCTTTTAAGAACTTGTTTGTGACTAAACTGTGTTTGTGAAACATGATGGACTGTCAGCACTGAAGACTGGATTCCTCCCTCCGCACATCTGCACAAACTGCACTGGCGCAGAATAATCCGTTGGAGACTTACCCTTCAGCCAAAGGATCATTTATAGTTATAAGTGCTAATCCTGGCAGTGTGGTTCTTTTTATACTATATGTGGTCTTCACTTTGACTTCAGCTAATACTACTTCTTTAGGAGGTGAGGAAGGAGAACTGTGAGAGGAGGCCAGACAGCCCTTACTTACAGGCCTGAGCATCAATCTTGTGATTCACTGGGACAGAAGAACTGTACCTTGTCTTGGATGTAATGGACCATTTCAGGGAAGGAAGGCATCTGCTTCCCAGCACTCTCCTTTTCATTTTTACCAGGAAATGTTCTCAGCACCCGCTGAGCTTCCCCATGTACTTCTTCCCGCCTTTCAGAAAAAAAGAGGAGAAATAACATGTTACTTGCACAGAACAAATGGCCTTTAATGAGCAATGAGATATCTTGTGGAGCTCAGGAGACAAGTGGCTTTTTTAAAAGAAAACGAAAAAGAAAAAAGCTCTGCAGTGACTTCAGAAAATTGCTTTCTTCTAGGGAAGAAAAAGGCTGGTGATGAGTGAGTGGCCTCTGCAGAACAGTCTAGAGCAGCTCACTTCTGCACCTCGTACATCCTGATGGTGTTCATCACCAGTTTCTGGTTCCCAAATCCTTGTTTTTGTCTCTTGTCCTCCTCCCCATCACTTCACATATTCAAACTTTAGCTCACTCCTACCAAGTTTACTGCTATCTGCTTAGCTGAAGAATAGCTCCTGAAACAGGACTGATTCTCTGCAACAACAGAGGTTCACTGCAATTGGTCTGTTTAGCTTTCCTTAGTTATGTGATAGCTACCTAGATCAAAACTTGAGCACTTAAAGTTGATTAAAAAAACCCGCTTGAATGGCAGGGACAGACAATTACAAATGAAATGATTACTGTGATTTAATGAGTCACCTACTTCTCAGCACGGGATGACCACTCTCACACGTGCATGCTCCTGACTCTCGGCAAATATAAGTTAAAAACAGATTGCCACAATTCACCAGGAAAAAATAATTTTTAGCCACTGTAAAGGGGATTTAAGTTAACGCATTTTACTTTGCAATTGGATCACTAGCGCATACTGCTTTAGTGACAGCAGTTCACCTGAAATAAGAAAAACGCCATGAGAGAGAATCCAAGCCAAAGACTACTGTAAGGTACAGTAATACTACTTCACAGGATTGTCAAGAAAGCCACTACATAAAGCCCAATTTCCAAACTACCACATCTGATTTTCAGTGTTACCTTACACATATATTTGGATGAAAAGCAATTAAAAACCACTCACGGGTCTCCAGCAGCTAACAGTAGTAAGTATCTGGAAGGGATATGATCTGGAGGGAACACTGTGCTAGCAAATTTCACAGCCACTTGACGTACTTGAACTTCAGGCTGAAAGAGAACAGACGCACAAATACGTGGCTGAGTTTAAATGGACACTCTAATGAGGGGCACTCACATCTTGTAACTCACCATTCCAGCTCTACTCTCCTGATACCATCGCAACCGAAACAGGAAAGTGGGAAAAGAAAAGCAGCTAGCTTTTCACTTATACACAAGTGGAGAATTAAATGTTTAATTACATATATGCACACTTCTGGGAATCATAAATTAGGTGTCTCTAGTTCTTACACGTCTGAACTGCCCTACCTAACCAACTTTGAAATGAAGAATGACACCCAGAAGCTGTCCACAAAAAACAGAACTCCACAGAGGAGCAGCAAAATCAGTGAAGGAAAAAAAAATTAGCTCATGAAGGTCATTCTCTTTGCTGGTTTCAGAACGCCTTAAAACGGTACTGCCTTCAGACTTAGATCAATAGAGTACAGAGGCAAAAATGTCCCCAGTATGAAAATATAGCTTACATGGTTACAGGTGAACCACTAGAAATATATACACCTCTGTGGTCACCCTGAGTGCCCATGTAAACATGCCATACACAATAGCCACTCATTCTGAAAACCCAAGCCCAGACCCCTGGGAAATTCTTATTCAAAAGCAAAACACGAGTAAGAAAGACAGTGAAATTTGTTTTCCTGTATGTCAAGGTTAAGGTCCTGGGGAGGTCTTCAGGTATCTTACAATGGTAGAAATCATACTGGATACTGAAATCTCCACTTGGTAGTGAATGATCCTTTCTACCAAACTCCTAGCTTCATGGAGCTTTTCCCAAGATATTGTACCTGAAGGAGCTACTCCTCCGTCAAGTTTTCTTAGGACGAGACTACGAGACATATAGCGCACTTGCAGAACATTTGTTTCTTCTAATTTTCAGAATTAGAAAACTGCATTTTTCTCACTATTCCAGCCACCGCCACACATTAAAAATATTTCATCTCAGCATACAGAACCCTCCCAACAAAGATACAGCGATACATTCAATAAAAAAGGGAAAACAGTCCCAAAAGCACACAACTGTGCCCAAAACCAATAAAGCACTAAGTAGTAAAGCTCTTTTTTAAAGCTACTTAATTTTGACTCCATTGAAAATACCTTTATTAGATAGGAAGCCACCAGAGCTTCCATCAGAGTACACTGTGCTCCTTCCAAGTTACTATACGCGCCAACCATCATAGATAAGGCCTCCTGAATGGCGAGCCTGGTATCAGCCTCTTCCTGTAATACAAAAACAAGATTTTCATGTTACTTTCAGTACACAGTGACACGAACCAAGAAAAAACAGCACACAGTACTAAACTTTTCCCAAAACCACATCAACACCTACCTTGCATAAAGCTTCAAAAAACTGCTGCACCAGTGCTATATCCTTGGTAAAGAGCTGAGGCATTCGGCTGAAACAAGATTATTGCTTTCATGAAATTATTTTTGTTTTTTTACTTGAAATGCTCCACATTTCATTGGTCTTCCCCCCAATCCCACATCTTAACTGTTAGACACGGCCAGCACAGACAGTTTCTGTCTGTGCTGACAGACACCTTATCCACTTACACCACAGAGCACAGCACCCCTCAGCACAGGTCAGAAATCAAGATATTCTGCTCATGAATATCTTGACAATCACTTATGTCACCAGCACAGAGGTCTGTTTCTGAACATACCGCTTGCCATCCTGCCCTCTAGTCTCTGCTATACATTCCTTAAATTTACGTTTCTGGCAATCCAGAAAGTGGAGCCATTTCTTAAATTCTGTGCATAATTCATGAATTGCCACTAATCCCTGCAAGCAAAGCCATTAGCCAACAAAGCATTTCATTCTGGAGATGTCAAAGGAGAATGCTTTTTCTCTGTAGCGTACATTCAGTTGCAAAACTGCCATGTGGCACAAGGCTTGCTGCTGACAAATTAACAGATTACTTTGGAAAAGCTATATTGACCTAAGCACTTCAGTTACCTGGAAAGTTTTCCAACAGCTGAATATGCCATTGACAGCAGTTTGGAATCCTTGAATGATAAAACGATAAACGTAAGTCAGCAAAAACCAAAACGTATAAAGGTACATCTATTGCTTAAACATTTACTTCAGATCCTATCTCCACACATCTCAAATAGGCTTCTGTGGATGAAGAATCCTGGAAAACAAAATGCTCACATCCAAGAAGAAAAGCATCACATAGCAACAGAGGGACCATGTTTTTTCCAAGAAAAACAGAAAGTTGTTGTTACGAATGGTAACAAAACGTAACTCCACCTTGTGGTCTCAGTTAACTGATTTTTTTTTTTCCAAGGGGAAACAGCTAAGGAGATTTGGCACATATATGAAACAGAAGCAAAGGAATAAAAACCTTCCACTGACTTTAATCAGCAGCTTTACACAATGGAAGCTGCCTGTGCAGTGGATCCTGGACACGACCAAAGCAGCAGATTTACACAAGGAATTACTCCCTCCTGAATACTCCCTTTCCATGCCTTTCGCAATGGCAGGGGAGGCCCACACCTTTAAACACCAGCTCAGGCCAGGAGGTCACATACGAAGATTCCAGTGAGCCAGGAAGATGATCAAAGCTGTGCAAGAAGAGGTTGCAAAAATCAGCCCTTTTAAGATATAGAAGGGAGTATCTTGGTGAATTTGCTTTCTGCAACGGCACTGGAAAGACCAAATATTCTTTTGGCCAGACTGCAGTTGCATTTGGTAATACCCTTCTACCTACCAATATCCTCACCGGATAAAAAGGGAGAAAGTACTATAAGCAGGCCTACGTAGCTGCCTAGCCTAGCACTGCAGAGTGCACACCTGGGGCTGAGGTGTCTCTGTGCAGTAAACAGTTACAGCAGCTGGATGCTGCTGTGGCCTCACTCTTTAAGTTAACAACACCATTAAGTCCTGAGACTTTGCAAATGGTGTCCAAGCACCTGTGCATAAAAGTTAGACAAATAAAACAGTCCTCCTAAAATACTAACGTCTTCCCCTCATACAAAACTTCTATAAAGTGTTGTCCTTTGATAGGCGTTTCAAATAACTATAAATAAAGAGATTTACCGGTTATCATCACAAAGATCTTTATCTTTTCCTTGTGTTTATAGAAGGAAATATAAATATAAAAATCCTTTCAACTTACCTCCTTGTATTCATTGATCAGCTTTGTAAGTCCATTTAAAAGCATTGGGCCTAAGGGCTTTATTTTACTCTCTGGACAACTGAAATTAGAGACACCGATAAAGAAAATATTAGACTATTTTTTGCACCTCTTAAAGACACCTTCTGTTAGTATAATTTTTTCTCAGCTTTGCTAAGCTGAAAAACTGCATCTTAATATGTGCAAGACGCGCACAAAAACTCCAAAATTCTTTTCAAGATTAAGAAGAAAAATCCTTGCCGAGTTTAATATTCTCTGCCCTTAAGTTTCATGTTTGATAAACAGGGTAGCTTCCAAGCAAACAGTTTGAAAACATTGCTCCGATTCTCAAGTTACTTACATGATACAAATATGATGCACAAACTGCAAGGATAGACTTCTCAGTTTTGTATTGGTGTTTGCACCAAAGAGTCCATCATAGACCACCTAGCACGAAGGAAGAAAGAGCAGATTAGAGAGTCACCTGCCTCACTTTCAGAGGTTTTCTGACTCCCCTTCTTCAACTGCTGTCATCAATAACCATGTTTCAATTCCTTCGCTCAGTATCAGAGGAACTATGTTATCAAGCTCATTGGGACAAGCAGCTTTGGGACATAACCGCTACCTGAATGTTAGCTGGGAACGTTTCTGCAGCTTGTCTGGATCGCAGAAGATGAGGAACAATCTTTAACTTAACTCGGGTGCTGACTGATTCTCGTTTCATTTCCGGCTTCGGAACAGTTCCCTGCAGAAACAGAGTTGAAGTGACATAGTACATCTCTGGACATCACTACTTCTAAGTTGGCTAAATTATCTTCAGCAAATCAGAATGTACTGACACAGAAAAAAAAGATTATTTGATAGCAAAAATGTTCAGTAAAAGCAGAGTTCACAGGAAGTGACAGATTTCAAAGACATATATATTTTCTCCAGTAAATAAATTAAGGCAGCTAAAATAAAGACTTTCAACATTAAGCAGGTACGCAACCCCGAAAGCAAGTCTTACCTCCTTGGTTCTCAGTGGTATATCCCCAAGATACACTTTAAACATTTTATTGATGATAGCAGGATTATTCCAGTCAATTAAACTAAAGGAAAAAAAAAGGAACACCAACTTGTTATGATCCTTACCCTTGATTACTTTTCAAAATTACATATATTTTATAACATTTTGCACCATATTCACAGGTTTACCTGAACTTTATCAGCTCTAGTTTGAATTCTAATCACTCCTCCCACATCCAAATAACAGATAATCACCAGGTCAAGGATGAGAAGTGATTACAAATCACATCCACAAATTCTGACAATTCCAGATAATTCATGAGAAACCTACAAGCTCCCTTCTTTCCCACTGAACAAAGATATGTAAACTGTGATGGTCTATGGAATGAACACAGAACAGTCACCTGTTAACAAACTTCTGCACATCCTTCAGCTGTGGTGCTCTGACATTTCAGTACAGAAGAGGGTATTTTTATCTCCAGGACTACTCCGTTTTGCCTCTCAGACAAACCTGTCAGCCTACATGGTAATCACTACTGTGAGTCTACCAGAAAAAATCCACTTACAGGAGAAAACTAATTCAGTCTAAAGCAGTTTCACATGGAGAACCTCGCAGCTAGAAAAATCAGAACACAGTCCCTTCAAAACCTGAAGCAGTTTGAATCTCTGACCTGAGACTTGTCTCAGAACACTGGACACTAGCTATTGACAAGACTGTTCAGAACACAAACAAAGAAATCAAAAAGACAAGGTATTCATGTTTCAGAGGGGAAGTGGGGGGACAGAAGAGCCTCCTTCTTTCATTAAAGCTACTGATTTCCAAATAAGTGGGCAGCAGAATACGGTGTGTTTCTCATATAAGACATTTAACATCGCATGCCTAACTGCATTTTGTCCAAACATATTTTATTCCCCAGGCACAAAACACCGCCACAAGGGGAAAGAAGAGACAAGCAATAAAGGACAGACTGACTTCATTAACCACACTGTCATCACTTATTAAAATTGTTTCCCATCATGATCTGAGGTGCACAAATAGACTTGAGTGGAGAAGGTTTCACACAGCACTTACGGTAGGCCTGACTCAAAATTAGTTAGTCCTGCACCTCCAAAAATACAGAAACCACCCACATATTTATTTCAAAGGCAGGCCTATCCCATTCCAAATCTCTGACACGGGCCAATGAACCTCACATGGTCAATGACTCAGCAAATAGTACCAACAGCAGTTATGGCAACTGTTCTGGCCTCATACAAAGTTAAAGACAGAAGTATCATCTCCAGAGGATGAAAGGTGGGCCACAGACAAGCCAGAAGCTTTACTAACGCAGACAACAGCAGCTGCCAAACTTCCTAGACAGTGGTCCACTGTGAACCTTCACTATTTCACCCTCTTTACTCCCTTACTAGATTAAATGAAAATACGCTTTTCCATGGAAGACAACACAGTTATATTGATGCGGATCACTTACTAAAGCCTTGCAGACTATCAATAACCCACAGAGGGCAATTCGGAAACCAAAGAGTAAGCAAATGGCACAAAAGCAATATCAAACATGGTTGAAAACAGACAACTCAACCTTCACCTCCAGAGCCGAGCGGTTTTCCCAGCTGCAAGACTGCTACCTGCACCATTTCAACCCAACGGTAACAGCTTCACAGACATTCAGGGACTGCAGCCTCCGCCTTTCCAGAGCACGCTTCCTCTGGAGCACTACACTAATTGCGGTTAGTGTTGTCAGAAACACTAGCACCATCTTTTCCTAACGCCCAAGCCCATACCTTTGTTTGCTCTTCAGTTCAAGGTCTGCTGCAGTGGCAACACTGTGTCTTGTGTCACTGGAAGCTACAACCAGATGTATAACAGCTTCAAGTTCTGGCACCTGCTCAGCTTCAATGAACTTCACTATTCCCAGTTTACACTAGTGAGCAAAGTGGAAAATAAAGCAGTTATTACTTGCAAGAAAGCACACGTTACAATAACCAAAGCAGTTCAGTTGTCCAAAAGTCGGCTTTTGCTTGCTAAGTAGAAGCTCACAGGCTCTCCACCTCTTTAGTGGTCCTCTCCTCTGGCCTCCTGTCAAAGTAGTCACCTGCAGTTCAGTATCAGCACGCTGACTTGGGAGTAGGCTACTTCTCGGGAATGGGCTACTTCTTCTCTTCCCTTCCAGCGAAGGGCTGCTAAAACGAGTAAGGGACTAGAGCATCTCTGAAGGAGATCATCTGCAGGAAGGCTGAGGGAGCTGTTCAGCCTGGAGAAGAGAAGACTGAGGGGAGATCTGATCAATGGGTATAAATATCTGAAGGGAGGGTGTCAAGAGGATGGGGCCAGTCTCTTCTCCATGGTGCCCAGTCATAGGACGAGAGGCAACGGGCACAAATTGAAACACAAGAAGTTCCACCTGAACACAAGGAAAAACTTTTTTACTGTGAGGGTGACTGAGCACTGGAACAGGCCAGAGAAGTTGTGGAGTCTCCATCCTTGGAGATACTGAAAAGCAGTCTGGACAGGGTCCTGGGCAACATGCTCTAGGTGACCCTGCTTGAGCAGGGGGGTTGGACTAGATGATCTCCAGAGGTCCCTTCTAACCTCAACCATTCTCTGATCCTGCTAAAACCAGTGGCTTTGTCACCACAAGGTAGTTTTGCAACCTTACTGTCTCCCAGAAGAAAACACAGGAGTAGGCTGTAGTTGTGTGCGCTCTCTAGCCAGTTTTCAGAACTGCTGACAGAGGCAAGCATCTTCAGCCCCCATCTCATTGCTCTGAAATTCCTAATGCATCAGGTGAAAGTTTCTCAATAAATTCCTGCAAGGCAACTAAAGACCTTCTCAGAATTAGTTACATATTTTTCTTTTAGCCCTCCCTTCCTCTCTGCGTACCTGCCTTTGTTACTACCCCCATTCCACCAAGGATTGGCCCCTGCGACTGCAAGTACCTGTTCCAGCTGTTCTGGTGTCCATGGGCTATCTCCAATTACCCTTTTAGCTGCATAATAGCTCATCCCTGGAGGAGGCTGAGGGATTCCAGGACTTCCCATGCTACTACTGGCCGAGGAGCCCTGTGCTGAGGGCATGTTTTGTCGTGTCTGAGATTCATTCAGTACATACCTAAAAAGGTAAAAAGGAGCTTCATTAGAGGCTTTACCAATCCACACCACCAGCTGAATTAGATGCTGGAATGGAAGAATCAGCATAACCTGTTCAGCTTCAAATATTCTTCTCTTATTAATCTCACAACTCTTGACATGATTTCTATTCATCTGGGACTCAGCTACCAATCACCCCAGTATATACTGCAAGAGCAATAAAGATTTCATGATAACTGAAAATAAGTCTTTGTTAAGAAAGGGAAGGGTTCACTGGCATTTCTGCAAAGAGTTATTGGGTTATGAACCACCAGGAATTATCACCACTATGTTAGAACTCAATACCCAAGCTGCAGTAGATTTGACAAATTTATACTCAAAGCTCTAGCAACATTTGTATGTTTTCTTTCAAAGACTGAAACTTAGCAAGGGAAATAATGAAGCATATGCAACAGGGTGAAACACCAGGAAACAATCCTTAATATCAAAAATAAATTCATAAAATAATCATGTCTCAGAAACAGCTCACTGTTTTAGTGCTTAGCGGGGACGGCAAGTAAACAACACAAAGATTAAGTTCATACACTTTAGCCTCTTTGGAGGCTGGCTGTGCACATGTATCCACTCTCACAAAAGCCACTCTCCCTCTCTCTGTGTCTGGGTAAACACAAAAAGGCAACAAAATCAGAGCAGAGACTAGCAAGAATTATTTTGCTCCAGATGGTTATAATCTGTTCTGCTTTCAGTACATAGCAACAAAAGGAAGTAAGTAAATCTCAGCACTGAAGATAAAACTTCACCCCAAGTCTCCATGAGAAATTTCTGAAGTAGTCAAAACTTCGAACATTTGAACTTGATTTTGAGCTTTAAGCCCTAGTTAAGTTTTCTGGTTTTACCATAGGCAGGATAGGGAGACTAATTCACAACCAGGCAAAGACTGAGCACATTCTACTAGGCATAAACTAGCTGTAAACAGCTGCAAATCTTGTCACCCCAGGGACCAAGACTTAAAGAGATAGGCATCCAGAGCCAAAGGCTAGCTGAAGACACTGTCTGAGCACTTTCTGGAAGAAAAATGAAACCAGAAAAAACACTGCCACTCCATCCCCACATCCTCATGGTTTCTCCAAGCGTTCAAAATCAGTTGTACGCTTGGCCGGAGTACAAAAGCACCTAAGGAGCTAAAGTCTCACTTTTCATCTCCTGGAGCCGGGGCCACAGCTGCGTTAGGGTGAAATTAACACCATAAACCTGGGGCAGACTGCAGCCTGTGAGCTGTGAACAGAGGAGCAGGTTGTGCATTTTAACCTATAAGCTGTTAACAGGCTACGCGCTCAAAGGGTAAGAAAGCAGTCCCCCAAAAATCTGACAGGAACATGGCCTCCGGCAAAGCTACACAGTTTTAAGAGATACATCACATGCTCACTATTTTAAAAGTCATTCTTTTGGGTTAGTCCATTTGAGAAAGCTAGTCTTAGGTGCTTAAAAAACTTCTCCTGGAATCAAGGAACTGTCAGAAAAAAATAATAAAAGTGTTCTACTGTACAATTTTTTCTATTTTCCTTCAAAGCAAAAAGTCCCCAAGCAACATAAATAAAGACGCAAAACCTGATGGAAACTGGCTTTTGAGAAAGCACTGATTCTATTAGACACCAGAATATTACTAACAAGCACTGATCGCTAATTCAAGTTGCTCTGTAAATAACTGTTGCTCCCAGCATTCAGTGCTCACACCAAAATAAGCTATTACAATTAAAAATTTCTCGTTGCAAGACCAACCTTGTCATTAAAGGTTCTATTTTGGAAAGTATAAGCTTTCAGAGATTACACTTGCTTAAGACCTTGCAGGACTAAGCCTCAAAACTCCACTGCAGGAAGACAAGCACATATTTTGATTTTCCTCCTATTTAAAAGCTTGGTTATTTATAAGATAGCTCGCATGTCCCATAGCTTCCCTTTGATGTCAAAGGACATCAACTTCAGAGCAGTGTAATGCTTAATTATGCAGAAAAAAGATGTTTTGTCAAGAATGGGTCAACACCTTCCTTTAAAATTAGGATCCTGCTTTGTACCTTATTGAAACATGTAACTGACTTCATTTGAGCTACGAAATAACAGCATACTTTAAATGAGTTTCCCAGCAGCGCAGCTGAAATATGTTTCACGTGTGAAGAACATGTCATTACACAACTAACTCCTACTTACCCATAAGGCATAAGAAGGACATCCAACATAAAGTCCAAAAGCAGCTGTACGGTCTTTGGTTTTTCAGTAAGATTAAATGGAGAAGCTGCTGCTTTCAGTGGTTCAACAGGATATTTCATGTGAAAAAGGGTTGGTATTAGAAGATGCATTAGGCTGAAAAACAATTATATTTACTGCAACCATTAAAAAAACACCTGTTTTTTCATAACATTAAAGAGAGAAACCTTTAAGAACAGACCTAGGCCTTAAAATAGCAACAATTCATAACAAAACTTACGTAGATTCATAACCCCGTGGCCTCCATTTGCCACCCAACGTACTTTACAATGGAAGGCAGAAGATAATTAGGATTTGTGCTTAAAACAAAACATATGAGTGTGTGCCCACGTGTGAACACATATACACACCAGTCTCCAGAGATAAAGTCACTACCTATGTCCACACTTTTAATGTTTTGTAAGTCACAAACTTAGCTTTACAAAACATAGTCTAGGACTGTTTCATCCTAAGACGATTAAAGTTTTAAATCTGAGTCTGTCTAGAGCAGAAAGGTGATGCAGCATGCTGTCTAGATCACCAAACAGTGCACACAGACAAATACATTATACACCAGTACAACTAGATTTCCCAAAGCTCTCTTCATCCATTTACTTGCTTCTGAGCCAGGGCAAAATTATGGCCCCAGAGAAGACAAAGTTTTTTTTTTCCATTGACATAAAGAATGGGGAAGCAAGATTTTACTGCAGAACCTTTCAGCAAGGTCATTTTAAAATACCTTTATACTGTCATAGTGCTGTAAAATGAATGAAGATACGATTTTCACATCCCTTTCCATTGCCAACATGATGGAAACTAGCCTCAGTGTAAATAAAAAGCAGGTCACAATTAATAACACGGTTTTTAGAAGTCATTGGCACACAGCAGTTTCAAACCTTTTTCCTGCAATGTTTCTTTTTTTTTTTCCAGTGCCTGAAGTCAGTAGAAATTTTGAGCATCTCACAATTTAGAGTGGTCAGTCTGGGGGATTTACAGCTGTTCCTGTTGCTAGACAGAAGGTATTTTCTGAAGGTCAGGCCCTAAGCTGGAAACCCAATCCCATAATTTGATGCAGACGTGGGATACAGACAGGCATATACTTCACAGTACAGGCCTCTTATATCAGGAGTTTGCTGCAGTGGATGCTCTACATTATTACAGTATTAGACTATCTCCCTTCTTCGTACCATCTAAACTTATGAGCTGTTGATCTGAATTGTGCAAACCACGAACACACTAAGCAACGAAGCCTCAACCAAGAAGAAAAAATCTTGTTTTACTAAAACGATACAAACAGGATTCACTCCATGAAGTAGTTATACCTGTCTTGCTGAGGTTGAGGTTTCCCTTCCATTGCAGTGAGAAGAGTTGGAGCCAATTCACATTGTTTCTCCACAGGCAAACGAGGATATCCCATCTTAACGTAAATTATGGTAAAATTCTGAAGAGGCAGAAAAAGAACATAGCATTGCAACAGCACAAAAGAAATATCTTTTCTTTAAACTCTTACGTTACAGAATTGATGTTGGAAACAACTTATGTTTAGGAAGACCCAGTTCCTTAATTCTAAGGCTCGCTTAGACTGACAGCTTTCAAAGGGGAGGAGACTCAGCAAGACCTGCTCAGAAGGGTCTAGAGAACAACCACAGAAAAACCTCTCTAATTTCTCTTATTCACAATGAATTTCACCAAAAGGAGCCCTACCTGAGCAACAGCTTCAAGTAAAGCAAATCTAATGTTCTCATTTGCTTATTTCTAAAAAAAATAAATAAAATTAAAAAAAACCCAAAAAAGTAGGCACTACTGAATAGGTAGAGAAGTTAGCAATACTTGCAAGTGTTCTCCTGAAATGTGTTTTTAAAAAATTATATTTAAAAGCTGCAAATGCAACCCGAACAGAATCCAGCAATACTGGACAGCAATAATGAATACCTGAATGTCTTTAACTGCTACTGTGTTGGTCCAAATCCAACTAAGAATGGAGAGTTATGTGTTCAAAGGCCTGGCTGAAATAAGTATGCAAGCTCAATTCCAATCAAAAAGCTATATTGGGGAAAAAAACCCTACTAACAAGAGGTTAAAAACTATTAAAGAGTAAAAGCTGAACACAACAAGGACTTTTCTAGTCTTCAACTCTACTGATAGTCCCTCTAATTGAAAATATATTTTAAAAAGCATATTAACAAAGAAAGAGAATGGTGTTGGTGGTTGTAGAAGGTCTTTGGCTTGGTCTGAGAAAATGCGAGCGCTAGTTACAATTTGCGCTCCAAAGTATCACTTTACAACAAAAAAAAGTCAAAGTTCAGTTTGTCCAAAAAAAAAAGAGTACAATTTGGAACTTAATCCATTTTGAAGAAGTAAACCAAAAGACTGATGAATATTAACTCTTTCAGTAAATCAACAGTAATTTTTTCTCAAGTGAGCACAAATACTGAGTCACTCCCATCTAATGCCTGCATCTAAAAGCAACTAACCAATCAATTCCCCCAGTGACACTAGCAAAGATCGTTCGGTGCAAACTGTGCCCTATAGAGCACAGAGAAGGCAGAGGGTGGATGCTGGCAGGCAGCCAGGCAGAATGCAGTAAAGAGGAGAGGTGGACGGACAGGTAGGTGGAGGGGAAGGGCTGACAGCCGTAATATGCTGCTGCAGTACAGGATGCTGCAGATTTGAGCTGCGCCCCTTGCTTGCTGACAGCTATTTGGGAACAAAGCACCAAAAGCATATCACAGCAGGAAAGCTTCAAACCATTGAGACACATCTACATCACACTGCAGTGAAAAGCATTATACTTCTTAGATGGCACTTGTTCAAGTTTTATGAAGCCCAGTATCTCACAGCACAAAACAACATGCATCACTCAGGTACACTAAGTGAGCGAACTTAGATTTTTGACACGCCCTGCCAAAAGCGCAGATGTATTTCAAATCTGTCTTCAAACAAGCTCCACAAAACACAGGCAGTTAGACACCCTCGGCCATTTCCAAAAGGTGAACTCTGGTCTCACTTGCTGAAAGGCAATCTGAGATTAGTTCTATGTGACTGCAGTTTAACAGTCCAAACATCTTTCCACCTAAGAGGTTATATTTTCCATTGAGGCTACGAGTTGCTAGCCAGATAAGAAAGTCAGAAAATTTCCCTCTTATTTCATTGCCTTTTTTGCAATGGCGATTTGCAATAGACGTACCACAACAGAAATAAAAATTGCCTTCATTAGTTTCACACAAACACATTTTTTTTTTTTTTTTTTTAGCTATTTTTACTTTTTAAACTGCATTGAATGACACCATCTCTCAATTTTCTCCAACTATAAAATAAAAATTATTTTCTCTTATTTTCTTGCTCAATAGAGGTCCTGACCCTAGAAACACACGCAAATGTATGTTCTCATGTATTCGGAGAAATGCAAATTTTTCTAACTTAAGACCCTGATCCTGCACATAGTAGGAAAAGGACTTGCTCTCAAAAGCTGCTTACACAATGGGACCTCTACAATAAATAAGGCCTCTACCATTCAAGCAATTACAATCCATGAATTCATGAAAGATCAAGAGTAATTATCAGTAATTTGAACAAAGTCAGTGATACAGCAGCCTTCTGAAACTAAGTTTCACCTGCAACAGACTATAAGGTTCAGTTTAAAAAAATTACTTAAAACATCAACCTTATTACAATAGCACACTTCTAAGGAAAATTGACAGAGCGTAATATAAGAGCTTTGACAAATAATCTGCTTGTTACAAGTAAATCAGCAACTAGCCTTGGAAGAACAGATACTTACAGTGACAAAAGACACTGCAGAAGGATCCTGATATTGAACTAGTAGCGTTTCTACTGGAAGCTGGATTTTTGGACGACTTTTGATGCGCTTGTTCAGATGAACCAGCAGCTCCATAACCTGAGAAGAAGAAAACAAAAAAGCTGAAAGAACTGCCATTTATTTTATGAATTTGGGCTTAACACATTCTCAGGTCACTGCATGGGCCCGTTAAACACAAATGAGGCTGGAGAGTGCCGGATGTACTCCATCTCTAGAGATAATGGCAGCAATCATTTATCATATAACCTCAGGGCCACTCTGACACGTCTCAAGCCACTACCAGACACACACATCAAAGATCCCCAAATCCCATGCCATGACCAATAGCCTCCATCAGCAGAAATGCCAGGAAGGATCGACTATCGAGAACAGCTAGTTCATTCTAGATAGCTGCTTGCTCCAGGTTAAGCCAGGCTTAGGAATTTTGCCTCACTGCCGTCTGCTCTGGCTGTATAGTAACTCCAATTCACAACAAGAGAATAGAAATTAATGAAAGGAGAATCTCATAAGAAAGGTCTTAAATAAGAAGCTGATGAAAGCTGGTACGTAGTGCTGAACAAGACAGAAATGAAGTAATTCAGGCAGGAGGAAGGGGCTGACAGGGCCCCCAAAACCCTAATCATGGACAAATGCCCATCCCTACACCAGGATGGCAGAGCCCTGGTAGTGACACCAGCCGGGGCTAGGAGCAGCTCTGCAGAGAAACCCTGGCTCTGGTGGCTGTGAGCAGAGCCAGTGGAGCTGTGTGCCAGGCAGCCCAGAGGCTGAGGGGACCAGCGTCCTGGGCAGTGCAAGCAAGGACATAGCCCAGAGTGAGGGCAGGGCAGGGATGGTCCCTTCTGCTCGGCCCTGTCACACCCCAGCTGGACACTGCCGCCAGTGTGGGACCCCATGCAGGAGAGACGTCCACAACTCGGAGTGGGCCTGGGCAGGCCCTCAAGCGGTTGGGACCTCCCAAAGTCCCCTCCAAACTATATTATCCTGTGATTCTACAATCTTATGAAGCAGTTTCTTAGCATAGCACCAGCAAATCTGTATGTCCACTGAATAAGATATCTCAGCTGAATGGAGGAACCTAAGAAACTACAGACAATGGCACAAAACTGTCCTACTAATAAATCTCCATTACCTCCAGCAACAGTACTGAGAAATCACATTGAACGTCTACATCTAGCTACCAGATACAAACCAGACTGTCAAGCACAAGGGTGCAAAAACATCTGTTACATTAAACGGAATCTGCTCAGCTCCAGTAAAACTAGACAGAACCAGCCCTAATGAGTCCTAGACGTATACTGACTTCAAGCAACTCAAGTCAAAGACCCAGGGGGCCACCCTGTCCTCTGCTTTCCATGACTCATCAGCTTGCTTATAGTATGGTGAAAAAGCAGCTAAACTACTGTTAGTGAAGTTGGCCATGGAAAGCAGATTCATGTCAGCTCCAACATCACCCTTGCATCCACTTTATAATTAGGCATCAATCACAATAATAACGGCTAGATACAACTCAGACAAACTGCACAAATGCGTGATGGAGCCTGGAGGTTAGCTGACAAACCAAGTAAAGCTGAGCTAACAAATTTTCCTGTAATTCTTTTAACCACAGTGACACATTCCTATTGTTTTATAAGGAAAAAAAATTGCCTGCACGTTTTTATTGTAAGGCAAGAGAAGCACACACACATAACTATACCAGAGTTTGAGGAACCTGTTCGCGTTATCCAAGACGGCTACTGAAAAAAAGATTTGGTTGGATTTCAGTATGTATGGGGTTTGGCTCCTGTCCTGCTTCTCTAATCGTTAACACCAAATCAGTGCACTAAGCAACTCATTCAGCAGTACTTATTTGACCTGGTTCAGGTACATGTCTGCACTTCTGCGGAACTCATCAGAGCATGATTGCTTTTTACGTTTTTATGTCGGCTTCATATAGGTTGCAAAAAGAGGGATGGTATCTGATCTGGCACAAATTCTGTTGTCTAGTCAGTGCATTAACATTTCCTCAGGCACATCTGAACCAGTAGCGTTTACCCTGGATCAGTTCTTTGGGTCACACGGATGAGAGAACCGATTTGGTAAAAGAAATCCTAGAGCTGAATTTACTCAACTGTCAAACTGTGGCCTGAAAAGGGCTTACCTTTTCAGAGTAAATTGATTAAGGAGATAAAGGTGTTGCAAGCCTATCTACACATCTAGACTATATCCTAGACCTGACAGCTTCCACAGACTGCCTTGCGAGTCACAAAATTAAGAGGAGGGATAAGATTAATACAGCAATATGCTGAAGTGGCAGTAAGAAAATGGAGTTTTGTTTTTCCCTTTCCACTCTAACAGCACAAGCTTGAAAAGAAAGTCAGTATGAGGACTCAGAGTTAAATTGCAGCATAAGCAAGCTGTCTGAATTATTAAACAAACTACACCGTACTGAAGTTGAGTGCAGGCAAGTACTGAAACTGTAGTGGGCTATACTTCAATAGCATATTGGCAGTGCAGAGATGTTATTTTTTGCTTATATACCCATACTATTAAAAGCTACATTGTGGATGCAGTTACAGTGGCATAAGTTTTCAAACTGCAATTAACTACGTTGGCAGATGGATTTTTTTTTAAACCACTATAATAATTGCAAGAGAGAGAAATGGCATGGCAGGTCACTTCACTTATAATCGGTCCTTGGGTGAACAGTTTGTCCTTCTCCTTCCATTCTACTTCACCTGCTTTATTAGCTTTTGTTTTCTAAGTGCCTGAGTGCTTCTGAAAAAATGTGAAGCTTCTGACTTATTCCACTGTCTTTACATGATCTTGAGGCTGGAGCTGAACAACAGGGACATTCTTTGTTGTCCACTGGCCCAAGTTAGCAAAGGATAGCTAGGTATTTGTGTTTCAAATTCATTAGCATTTGAAAATACAATACAGATTTAGACTTTTTTCCCTACCAGTTTAAGGGGCAAAATAAGAGGAGCAGACTGAAAAGCTGAGCGTTTATGTAAGTACCAGGAAAAGGCAATGTGCAAGCTGAACAGATTTATGTGCAAGATATACACTCACCAGTCCATCTTCACTGATGCTTATCAGAAAAAAAACTGTCAGTTTTTTTTTCTCACCTCACCTCTGTCTCACTGACAGTTTAAATCTTTTTACTGCCTGCGTAAAAAAAAAAAAAAACCCAACAACTAAATAGGCTTCTTGTTCAATTTTGAACTTATTCTGAAAACAAAATACTAAAAGAGCCAACTTCCCTTCACTGATATGTCAAGAGCAGAATTCAGGACGATTTCCTTGATTACACTGGATTTGACAGACAATAGGAAGCATAGTAAAGTATTCTAAGTGCTCACGATACTATTATCATCTAGTAATGATGATGACAATCTACAGTCTAAACGCACAGGAGGAGGAAGAGGAAACAAGTTCTATTTCGTTCTTCTTTCTAACACAAAAACTACAATGCAGCAGGAGACTGACGCGTGTTTTTGAGAGGCCTCTAAGAATTTTATTTTCAAAGTGGCATAGTCTTGCCCTTTCCTGAACCTCACAAAACTCCAGAGAAAACAGCCAACACATTCCAATTTACGAATGAAAAATACTCTAAGGAATTTCACTAGCTACTTGGCATGCCTTTCCTTACTGCTTGAAGTGCAGATGACAAGCATGGACTCAGAACCCTTCTTCTGAGAAAAAATATCTGTCCTTCAGCACAGTGGAAGGGTTCCACATCTAGGGACCCTTTTTCATGTGGTTTTGGGACCATGTTTTGCCGCAGAACTCTTGGAACACCTATGCTCTAGTTACATGAGGGTTCTGAAATCTGCTGAAAAAGTCAACGACAGCACAGTCATTTCCCTATTTTTACAAGATAAAGAGGGGACTAAGAAAAAGATGTTTGTGTTTTTTTCAAGCCTGTCATCAAGCAGCTCTTTCTGATGAAGGCTTGCAGGGACAAGAATTCATCCTCTGCTTTCTGATCCAGCTGCTCTAGACCTGGTCAGATCTCTTATAATCAGCTTCCACTGCCTCATGGTCTCTTCTGGTCACATCCTCCTGACAGAGCAATAAATACAAGCAGATGTTCCTCTGTCAAAATCCAAATCAAGTCATCTCTCTTCTGCCTTAACACTGGGTTTAGCAATCCTTTCACACAATCACACAAACTGCTATTCGACAATACTTTTGTAAGACCACTGGCCTGGAAAAAAAAATGCTAGTAAACAGAGTTCAGTTCCCTGCTACAGAAGATAGCTACATCACAGAACTCCTTCAGATGCATAATAAAGTCCATCTTCAAAACTGTTAGGTAGTTGTTCCTACTCCCTTAACTAGGCAAGTAAATGACATCAATGAGTATGTCCTCATGGTTTTTTGCAGGCAGAAGCAAACTTGCTCCACATGTGCTGTGATCCAAGTGGATGCAAAACTGCCCTAACTTGGAAGCCAAACAGCTATAGCTTGATTAGTGCTGCCCCGGTGCCAAAAAGTCTTGGCCTCAGCTAACCCACAGTTAGCTCTCTTCAAGTTGAAGTAAGTGCAGCCTCCATACATTTGCAAAAGACCTTGCTGATATAGACAGTGACTGACGTCTTCTTTAAGCCTTGGCAGTTTTAACTGCCCCTTTCTCCCTTTCAGGCTCATGGCATTTCCTCAAAAGACTACACCTCCTCATGGAGAGCGTCAAAGAGCAGTAAATCACACTGCTTCAAAGACATTTACTTCTCCCTGATCACTACAACTTACCAGTACGGTAAACTGCACCCTTACCTTTTTACGAACTCCTTCCTGTGTGCTGGACAGCTTGAGGAGAACAGGGGGTAGGAATTTGGAAATAATGTTCTGTAACTGCTCATCTGTTTCTGCATGGCCAAGGCGCAAGAACACACGTTCAAGTTGATCTGCATTTCAAAAAGAAGAGAAACCAGTTGAAACTCAAAACTGTGGCAGCAAGAAAATAACTTTCTCTGAACATCCCCTAATGGGTCTGTAAGAGATGCTGTACACAATTCTTAAAGTACCTCCAGCTCAATGGCACTCATCGCAGATCCATCTTCTATTTTTAACACTCACTGAGCAAACTGTTCATGGGAGAAATCAGCCCGATGGCTTCCAGGACTAGACTACACAATTCTGTACAGATCAGTCCTATCACAGACAGAAGCAATTAAGATTTCCTTGACGTTGCTCCATGCTGCATTTCAACTAAAAGCCAGAACGTCTCCAAAGGGGAAATGAAAGGTTAACATTTCTAGTCATTTCGTGCTGTTTCTGCTCTGACTGCAAGGGTGTGGGTTGTAAGGCTGCTAGTTTTTAAACGATGTGCTTGCTGTGATCTGCATTCAGACCATGACATTCCATATACTCTACTAGATAGTTAGAGGGCAAAAAGATTTGGCCAGTTCTTGTTATTCTTCTTGTTACATGTAGGGTTCCAGTCATGCAGCAGGACCCCATTGTTGTAGATGCTGTATAAACCGAACAAAAACATTAAGCACGTACAATAGGCCCAAGAGCACAGGTAATGGCATAGGAAGGAAAGAATCCAAGCAATGCGCAAGCTATAAACTTAGGGCAAGCAGCACCACAATAGCTGCATACAAATAAACAGGCTGTGCACCTGAAAGTGCAAGAAACAAGCTACAAAAGCTTGAGACTATTCTTCTAAAGTAAATTTGCTACTGATGGAGCAAGACTAAATCGCTCCTAAACGCTGGCCAAGTATTCACAGGACATCTTGACATAGGTTTACCTGTTTTTCTGACTGTGGCTCTTTGTTAAGCCATATACATCTCGCAGAAAGGTTTTTACAAAGCTGTACAAATCTTGACTGAATCAATTAATTATTTGTTCCAGTATGTTACCCTTGTTTTTAAAAGACAACATTAGCATCAGCACGAGTAAGACAGCAATTGTGAAACACAGGATGCGTTGCTGTAACTTAAAAGACAAAGTTCCTATTACTGCTCCATGAAGCTGCTGGAGCATGGTAACGAATTCATCTTCCTCCCATCAGCAGGTCTTCTCCCCAAGCCCAGGAAGGAACTTTAAACAAAAAAATGAATGCCAATGAAGAGGTAGAAGCTGCAATTTTTACAAGATGAAGAGAGGAAGAACAAAGTAAAAAATGCAATAAACATTTGTCTTCTAAATAAGTTAGCAAGAAATCATTGCAGACACACAGACGAGGTCAAATCTTCTGTCAGTAGCTCAAGTACACGGACTGCAGACCATCTGTCTTTATACTAAAGAATGGAAGAGTCACTATTTTAGGCACAAGAATGCAGCTGTCCTGACAGCTAAGCTAGTGGTAAAGCAAAACACCACTAGCACAACAACGTTCCCATGGCTCGGCTGAGGAGAGCGCTCCTATACAAAAATAGGAATGCTTCTCTTCTCTGCACTGTAGCAGTGCAGGCCAGATCCAAAGACAGCAAGGAAACTAACTGCTTCCGGGTGGCTGGGCAGGCTGTAAAGGACCCCAGAGGCAGAAGAGGAAAAAACACTAGTTAGGGCTAGTTAGGGCAGGGTTAAACAGAGAAGATGCAGGTGAATGTATCAGTCAGGGCACGCCCTCAGACCTTCAGTGGACAAAAAGGATGCTTCTTCCTTTCAAACATAGCTCTAGCTAGAAAACCTCTCACTATGCAGCTGTGGAAGCCTTTACTGTATTTTTTAATCTGCCCTATCCCTATATTAAGCATCCTTAGAGAATCATGCCTCCTCTAATGGCCGCAATCTAAGCACAAAGATATCACTTCCAACATTTTATTTTCTGCTAAGCAAATACAGCAGGCAGATGGGAAGACAGAGGACTCTGAAATTTTACTGTAAGAGAAATTACAAGCCAAAATTCTGCAGCACCCACAACGCAAAATAGTCAATCTCTTGTTTCAGGCAGATTTCACGGACCTCCCACGCTGTCAGCTAGCTGCTCAACAGCTTTGAGATATTTATCTCATACCATAGGTTTGAGGGTTTTTTTAAGTCTCAACAATTCCTTTCTCTCTTCACCTGCCTTTTTGTGTCGTATTTCACTTCCCTGAATTATTTCCTTTCTAGTACCTCTGGGATGTCCCAAGACTATTAGGAACCTTCTTGGGACATTCCAAGCAGCCGAAATAATCCAAGTTATTAATGAAACTCTCA